GGAGCGGGCCGACCATGGTGAAGACGTGCCACCACTGGTGGCTCGCGCCGACGATGTCGCAGAAGATGGGCATGTCGCGCCGCCGCCGAATCCAGCGCTCGGGCACGTGCGTCGCGCGGACCGCGAAACCGGCGACGCCGGACAGCGAGCCGAGCACGAGCAGCCGGACGGGACCGCGGGCCGCGGCCCTGGCGGCCGCGTCGAGCGACGGCCACTCCGTCGCGAGGAACCCGACGAGCGGCGCGTGCAGGAGCACGAACATGGGCGCGAGCGCGTCCGGCCGCTCGTAGGCGACGGCCAGAATGGAGAGGGAGCCGTAGGCGAGCGTCGCGACGCAGACCCAGACCGCCAACAGATCCCGCCGGCAGTAGAGCAGCAGGTAGCCCTCGAGCGCCGCGCGGCTGCTCAGCAGGCACGCGATGCCCGCGAAGTCGAGGCGCCAGGCGAGGCGCGACGCCGCGGGCCCGCGGCAGTGGAAGGCGTGCGCGAGGCTGGACGCGAGCGGCATCAAAGCGCAGAGGCCGTAGAGGACCACATGCGCTCGACGGGTACCGCCGTCCGCGGACGCGAGCGGCTCCGCGGCGAGCTGCGCCGCGCTCGCGTGGACCCACGCCGCGAGGCCGAGCACGTGCGACCAGATGTTCAACGTCTCGTTGTGCAGCTGGAAGAGCGAGCGCGCGCAGTCGCAGGCGTCGTAGCCGAGCCGGTAGCCGCCGAGGATGTGCTTGTAGGGCGCGTACCACGCCGGCAGCTCGTTCGACGCGCCGAGCCGGCGGCTCGCGCTGCTCCAGCCGGCGCCCGGCTTCGTGAGGTCCATCACGTCGTTTGCAGCGCGCCGTACACCATGGCTTTCTTACGGTCGCTCACGTGCTTTTATCGATGCGCTTCATCGCTGGGTTTGCAGCGATTTTGGAGCTGCCCATTGCGCCGCAAGTCGTCGATGCCGATGATGCCGGGTTCGATGACGACTCGCCGATCTCCACAGCAAAAGTAGAGCAAGAGGCTTGCGCGTCGACGCGAGCAACACCGCGCGTCCCGCCTCCGACACACGCTCCGCACCGCGCCGCAACGCGCCGGAGCATCGCGGCTGAGCGCCGCCCGCGTCGAGCACCAGCGCACCCCGAGCGCCGCCGACCGACATCCGCAACCCGCCGCACGACAAACATGGCGCCGACGCAACGCTACGCGCGCGTCCCTACGACGGAGGAGGATTCAAAGGCCGCGGCGAACAAGAAGCGCCGCAGCGAAGCCGCGGAGAACATCGCCACGAAGATCCAGGCGCTGGCCTGGGTCGCGACGGGCGTCTTCGTCGCCTACCAGACGGACCTGCCCTTCGTGATGCTGTCGCACCCGGACGTCAACCGGTTCTGGTTCAACATCGCGGCGTCGTGCTTCACGATGAACACGGTGCTGTGCGCGTACTTGACGCTCTGGCTGCCGTACGTCCAGCGAGTCACGACGGAGTGGGCGGTCTACTGCCCGCGCGTGATCCCGACGATGACGGCCATCGGCGTCGTCTGCGGCATCTCGCTCATCCGCGGGCTCTGGCCCGTCTGGGGCCTCCTCACGCCCTTCATCCTCGCCATCATCTTCATGGCGTGTCTCATGTCGCTCCACTTCATCCCGTGGCCGTTCTAGGGCGCCGCGGTCGTGGCCCGGCGTGGTTCGTCTAAGAGCCTTCGCTCCGCTGTGTTACTGTTAATCGCAATTGGACGCTGCTTCGGGCCCGGCGGTGCGGAGAGGCCATACGACACCCGGGCCGTGACTGACGTCGCGCGCTGCCGCAGCTAGTCGCCGGGAGTCGCCTGCGGAGATCTGCGCATGCTCCGGAGCTCCTCGAGCGAGGCGTCGGGCCGCTCAGAGCCGCTGCGCCGCGGCGGGGCCCACTGCCGGCGCGCGCGCGGCTCTCGCGCGGCTCGCGGGATCGCGAGCCTGCTGTGGCAAGTCTCAGTGATGGCCGCGTTCTCGTCCAATTGGTCAGACTAGCCTTCAAGCGGAAAACAACGCAAGTTTGATTCAAGTCCAATATTCGCCCACGGGAGCACTCGCCTTGACGCCGCGCGCCGACGACCGAATCGCTGCCTCCGACGCGCACTCGCCTTGAAACAGCAGCGCTGAACTGCCTCCATCGCGTTTCAGAGCTCTAAATAGGGGCCGCACACACCACACTATGCAGTGCGTCCCTACGTGCAAGCCTGCCGACCCGAGCGAAGCCCCGGTGGGCTTCGGGCAGGTGGCAAACACCGTGCTGCACCTCCGCGCCGCGGAGGAGGGCTTCAAGCGCGCCGACCGCAAGCAGAGCATGGAGGTGCTCACGCCGCGGCACGACGCCGCCGAGCGGTCCGCGTCGGTCGTCGGTTGCGTCTTCGCCATGCTCGCGACGATCGTCGGCGGCGGCGCGCTGTCGCTCCCCTACGCCCTGAAGTCGCTCGGCGTGCTCAAGGGCCTCGCGATCCTCGCCGTCGCCGCCGTCGCGTCGGACCTGTCGCTCTTGGCGCTGTGCTCGGCGTCGCGGCGCACGGGCATCGTCGCCTTGCCGCAGCTCGCGCGGCACACGCACGGCAAGAAGGCCGAGGTGCTCTGCAGCGTGTCCCTGCTCGTGCTCTGCGCCTTCGTCGCCGTCGCCTACGTGAGCCTGCTGCGGGACATGCTCGCGCTCGCGACGGGCTGGGCGGGAAACAAAAATATGCAACACGACTTCAATATGAATGTATTCGCACGCAACCATGTCGCTGTCTGTCAGGAATCCACCGAGAGAAAACGATCCGTCCAAAAATCAGCCGAAACGACCTCGATTTGACCGAGATAGAGAGGTTCGAAGTTTCGCTGGACGGGGCCGTTCCACCGGTTGTTTCCGGCACAGGCGACGGGCCTCGACGACGGCAGGGTCCTCTACTTTTGCCTCATCTTCGTGCTCCTGCCGCTGTCGCTCTTCCACGACGTGAGCCGCCTCTCCTTCGCGGCCGTCGTGTCCTTCTGCGCCGCGATCCTCGTGTCGGCGACCTTCGCGATCCGCGCGCCGGCGGCGCTCGACCGGGGCGGCGCGGGCTGGGCGGATCTGGTGCTCGCGCCGGGCGAGGCGCCGGACGCCTTCGCGGCCCTCGGCGCCGTGCCCATCGTGTCCATCCTCTACCTCTGCCAGTTCAACATCCTCTCCGTGCACAGCCGGCTCCACGACCCGACGCGCGACCGGCTCAAGACGCTCGTCCACACGGCCGTGGGCCTGTCGACGCTGCTCTACGTCGTGCTCGGCCTCGCGGGGCTCGCGGTCTGCCGCGACGTGCCCCTGGACGACGCGCAGGACGCGCTGGCCGGCGTCCTGTTTCGAGAGCTTTCGACCGAAGGAACGTCGTCGCTCGGTAGGCGCTCGCGTGCCTCGCGGAGAACGACGCCGCGGACCCGCTCCTCGGGACCTGCGCGCTGGCCTTTGGCGTCGCGATCCTGCTCAACACGCCGGCGATCGTCATCCCGCTCCGCGACTCGCTCGAGGCGCTGCCCGCGGTCTTCGGCTGCGCCTCGCAGGCGGCGCCGGCGACGCCGCGGACGATGCGCCTCGACGAGCGCGCGCGGCTCACTACGCCGACGAAGGAGGAGGAGGAAGAGGCACCCGTGCGGTCGCGCGCGTCCGTCGCGGCCCAGGGCTACCACTTCCTGCTGACCGCGGCGCTCGTCTTCCTCTCGTGGTGCGGCGCGACGTACGCCCCGGGCGTCGCCGTCGTCTGGGCCTTCGCCGGGTCCTCCGTGGGCCTCTTCATCTCCTACGCGCTCCCCTGCGCGCTCTACCTCCACGTCCGCCGCCACAAGCGGTCGCCCAAGGTCTACGCGTGCCGCGCGATCCTCGCCGTGTCCGTCGTCCTCATGGCCGTGTGCTTGGCGCGGAACGTCGCGACGTCGCTGGCGGCGCCGTTCGTCGCGGACGATGACGATGCGTGAGTGATTGCGGCTGAGTAACGACACGCGCACGGTACTTATGCACGCCCGCGAGGCTCCGGCGGACGCGTACGCGTGCGGACACCGGACACCGGCCGGGCCGGCGCCGGCGCGGCTCGCCCATCCCCTAGTTAGCCTATGCTTCCTCCGAGCCGTCATCCGCAGATCGCAATCTCCAAGTTCATTATGGCTCGTACGACGCTCTTCGCCTGCCTTCTCACCGTCGCGGCGGCGCTCCAGGCGCCCGTCACCAAGGTTGCCCCGATCGCGCGTTCCGGCGTCAGACGATATGAAATGAGCTCCGGGGACGCTGTTGAGAGAGCTCGCGCAGCGAATGAAGATCGCGGGTGAAGTCCGCGCTGCGCGCGCGCCGGGAGCTGCCCCCCGGGCCCCTCCCGCGGCCCTCAGAGCGCAGCCGCGACGCGCTGCTGCGCGCTGGACACGTCCGGCCCGCACATGTCGTGCGCGCGCGTGCCGCGGCCTCGAATCGGCCTCGAATCGGAGCGAGAGGAGCGACGGCCCCATTCCCTTCCCCCCGGGCCCGCCTCGATCCGCCCCCTCCCGTCGCAGGCCAAGGCTGTCGCGCCCAAGTTCGATGTGATGCCGATCGCCGCCGCCGTCGCTCCCCTCGCCGTCGCGGCGCCCGCCGAGGCCTTCACGGGCAACATCGCCGGCATCCCCATCAACCTCCTCATCGTCGGCGCGGCGCCCGCCGCGGCGCTCCTCGTCGCCCTCACGGTCATCGGCACCGGCGCGCTCCAGCAGCTCGGCCGGGTCTTGTCCGGTGAGTCCAAGGGCTACTTCGGCGAGAACTAGGCGCGCGTCGCCAGTCCGCCGCCTCCTTGATAAACACCGAAGTCCCAAAACACTGTGTGAGCGCCAGAGTCCCGTGCCGGCTTCTCAGCCTACGCGACGCACAGCCTCGACGCCGTCGTGGACGCCCGGGGGCGCGCGCTCGCGCGCCTCGACGCCGTCGTCGACGGCGTCGAACGCGAACGAAGAGAGAGAGAGGGACTTATGCGCATGCGCGGAGAGGGGGTCATGGGGCGCGGCTCGCTGGGCGCGCGACCTCAGGTCGTCACGGCCTCGATGAAGCCGCGCGTGTAGGGGAACTCCGGGTTGAAGAGCGACTCGTTGCGGTAGGTGATGCCGTCGACGATGCCCTCGCGCTCGACCGTCTCGATGGGCGGCGGGGGGGGCTGGAGGCTCGGGCTCATCTCGAGGGACACGGTCGTGCCGCAGAGGTAGAACTCGTAGTCCTCGTTGTTCTCGTTCGGGAGCGGGTCGCAGCTCCAGCAGTGCTGGGGGTACTTGTCGTCGAAGGGCTCCTCCTCCGAGGGCTTGTACTCGTGCTCGTGCTTGAGGTAGAGGGCGTCGTCGATCTCGGGCAGGTCGTTGACCTTGAGGTCGCCCATGAGGCCGCTGTAGGCGACGCCGACGTGCGGCCGCGCGAGCGGGTGCGCGTCGCTGAGGCGCCGCGTGCGCTCGGCCTCGAAGGCGGCCTCGCGCTCGAGCTCGCCGCCGGACTTGACGAGGACGGGGTCGAGCTCCGCGAGCCACTCCTCGGGCGAGAAGAAGCGCGCGATGGACCGCTCGAAGTCGCGGAGCTTGTGCGCGTCGGCCTGGGCGCCGGGCGCGGCCCAGTCGACGTGGCCGTAGGACGCGCGGCGCGCGGCCTTCTTCGGCGACGCGGACGGCGGCGGCGGCGCCGCGCCGCGGCCCTCCTCGAGCTCGAGCTCGGACACGGGGCCGACCCAGAGCTCGGCCTCGCCCTGGAACGCGACCTTGACGGAGGGCGTCGTGCCGCGCACGGGCACCTCGACGACGACGCCCAGGGGCTCCGACGTGCCCTTGCGCTTGACGACGCCCGCGGACCACGCGCGCGACACGCCGCGGCTCTCGCCGAGCGCGTAGTCCGCGAAGAGCGGCCGCCGCGCGGCGACGGAGAAGCCCTCGCAGTCCGCGTCGACGTCGTGGAGCAGCTTCGCGGCCTCGTAGCCGTCGGGGTCCGCCGCGCGGGCCTCGAGCTCCGCGTAGAACGCGATCCTGTCGTTGAGGTGCTTCGCGAGCGCGGCCAGGTCCACGGCGACGCCCTCCGGCGGCCCCAGCGCGACGCTGTCGAGCTTGCCCTTCAGGACGAGATTGCCGCCCGCGTCGCAGGACACGCTCTCCAGGGCCAGCAGGTCCGTGACGCCGTCGGCCTTGCCGTCGCCGTCGTCGTCGGGCGACCGCAGCACCTTCGTCTCCGCCTTGTCGAGGGCCAAATTGAGAAAGTCCTCGCGCTCGAAGCAGCCCGCCGTCGACACGCCCGACGCCTGTGGAGCATGTGTCGAAATCTCTCGAACAAGAGGACGCCGCCGCGAAGACCTGCAGCATGTGCTTGAGCTGCTTCGTGGACATGGCCGCGAACTTCTCGTCGTAGTGCGTCTCCGTCGGCAGGAGCAGCAGGTAGCGGTCCTTGAGCGCGAACTTGCGCTGGGACCCGGGGGACCGCGGCTTGAGGCCCTTGTGGGGCTGCAGCACGACGAGCGCCCCGACGGCGTCGGCCGCCGCGAGCGACTCGCGCGTGAGCATCGCGCCGTCGTCGGCGCGCGCCGCGAAGCCGCGGCCCTCCGTCGCCGCGAGCGCCTCGCACGCCTTGAGCTCCTTCGCGGCCTTGTCCGCGAGGACCGCCGTCTCCTCGCGCGCGACGAAGATGGCGTGGCTGTCGTCGTCCTCGCAGCGCGCCGCCGCGCGCTCCGCGTTGGACTTGCACGTCTCCGCGGCGACGCGCGCCTGGTCCACGAGGCCCCTGACGACCTCGACGGAGTCCGTGCCCTTCTCCCGGTGGCTCTCGATCTCCTCGCGGCAGGCCTTGGCCCGGGCCCAGTAGCCCTCGGCGGACGCGACGAGCGAGTCGATGACGCTCTCCTCGTGGCGCTCGCCCTTGATGAACGTGAACGAGATCGGCCGGCCCGCGGTCGCGATCGACTTGATCAGGAGCGGGAACGTCTCCTGCGTCGGCTCGAGGATGAGCCGCTTGTTGATGGCGATGAGCTCGTCGCCCTTCCGCACCATGTCCGCGACCTCGGACTCCTCGAAGATCTCGTCGACCTCGACGTACTCGCGGCCCGCGCCGTAGCGCGCGAGGCTGATCTTGAGGCCCAGCTCCTCGCCGCGGAACGTGTGCGTGACGACGCGGCCGATCTCCTGGAGCGACTTGAGGCGCCGCCCGAGGAGCTGCTGCATGACGCGCAGCACGCCCTCGCGGTCCAGCTCCCCGGAGGCTTCCGCGTTCTTCACCTTTGCGAGGACGGCATCCAAGGGATCGTCGCTCTTGTGGAAGGCGATGGACGTCCGCTTCTTCGAGGTCTTGGTCTGCTCGACGAAGTTCTTGACGGACTCGGCGCGCTCGCGCTCGAGGCCCGACCACGGGCCCCGCGGCGGGGGGGCTGCCGCAGCCATCGGCGCGATGTGATCAGCCAAAAAATCCTTCGAGGTCGTTGATGAGGTGAGCTTTGCCTCAGGCGCCGGCGATCGTCTCGACTGCAAGCCCGCTCATGCGCTCGCTCGTCGCCGCCGCGGCCGCGGCCGCCGCGTGCTCGAGCTCCCACGCGCTCGAGGGCCCGCGGCACCTCCTCGCGCGGAGCCGCGGCGTCTCGCGCCGCGGCGTCGCGCTCCGCTGGGCGCCGGCCGTGCGCCGGCGCGGCGGCAGCCTCGAGGAGGACGAGGACGAGGACGAGTCCGACGACGAGGACGAGGACGACTTCGAGGACGACGACGACGAGATCGACGAGTCGGTCTTCGACGAGGATGTCGAAATCTCCGATGCCGACTTCGACGGGGACACCTTCAAGAGTCGGACGCTCAAGTCGTGGGCGGAGACGCCGCCGATGACGCAGGCCTACGTCGGCGCGTCCCTCGCGCTCACCTGCGGCTCCTTCCTGGCCTTCAACAACCAGTGGCCCGAGTGGCTCCACCTCAACTGGGGCGCCGTCTTCAAGCGCGCGCAGGTCTGGTGCGTTTTTTCGGCGTCCGCGGATTCGTGTTTTTGTTACTTCACCCGGCAGTGATGATTACTTGTATGCCGCCCCAGTCTGAGATAGTCACAGACTATATTGCTGAGCGGTCTGTTTATCGTTTAGCATCTGAGTCGAGTCGATCGCGTTCGCGTCAATCTCGTTTCGAACATTCCCGCCCCGACGTCGTCCCGAATCGCAGGCGGCCCCTCACCGCCTTTCTCTTCTACGGCCCCTTCGGCCTCTCGTACCTGCTGACGATCCACTTCGTGTGGACGTACATGGGCACGTTGGAGAAGCTGTCGCACACGGAGCCGTGGGAGTTCCTCGTCATGATGGCCTTCGGCGCGGGCTCGCTGCTTTTGGGCGTGGGCCTCGGCGGCATGAAGACGCACTTCCTCGGGCACAACCTCTCGTGCTTCCTCGTCTACATCTGGGCGCGGACCTACGAGGGCCAGGAGGTCTCCGTGATGGAGTTCTTCAACATCAAGGCGGAGCTGCTGCCGTGGTTCTTCGCGGCGCAGACCTACCTCCTCGAGCACGAGCTGCCGATCCACGACCTGCTGGGCATCGCCATCGGCCACCTCTACACCGTCGCGCGGCAGCGCAAGATCCTCGGCGCGCCCAAGCCGCTCCAGGACCTGTTCACGAGCAACCCGGCGCTCATGGCGAGATACGAGGCCATGGCGGAGGAGTTCGGATGAAAGTGTGAGTAAAGGAACAGTGAAGTGTGCAAATAAACGACCGTGGGTGCTGGTGGAAGGGAGCTCGGAGTAGGATGATGAGATGAGGATGGTCGGAAGGAGCATGATCGCCAGAGCCCGCGGCGCGTTCAGCGCGCCGTCGAGCGAGCTGCGGATCCTTGCGCGGACGGCGTCCAACCGCGCGTCGACGCCCGCAACTTACCCGTCGCGGCACGCCCGCGTCATCGATCGCTGCGCGGATTCAAAACAGCAATTTGCCCTCAATATGCAGTCGCACTTGGGACGATTTCAAAGCTCGTCGATCTCGAACGGCAGCGTCTTGTGCGCGAACGCAAAGCCGTGCGCAACGCAGCAGCAGCAGCTCCGCGCCGTAACACCGTCGCAGCAGCAGCGGTAGCAGCGCGTCCGTCCGCGCGCCAAAAAAAGCCGGTGCATTCGCGTCGTCACACGCGAAAACCATAAGAAGGCAATCATGACGGCCCTGGCGGAGCGCAACTCCTGGGCCGCCGAGGGCCTCGACGACCGCGACGCCTGCGGCAGCGGCATCGCGACCGTCGCGCTCGGCGACGACGAGCCGCGGCTCGTGCGGACGCTCCGCGGCCACCGCGGCGGCGCGGTCAACAGCGTGTCGTTCTCGCCGAGCAAGAAGCAGCTCGCGAGCGGCGGCGCGGACTCGTGCGTCATGCTCTGGCACTTCGGCCCCGCGAGCCACGTGCCCGGGACGCGGCCGACGCGCGCGTACCGCTTCGTGGGCCACCGGGGCGCGGTGAACCGCGTGACGTTCAGCCCCGACGGCACGGGCCTCGCGTCCGCGTCGAGCGACCGGACCGTGCGGCTCTGGGAGACGAAGGCGCGGGGCGAGAGCACGGAGCTCAAGGGCCACGGCGGCCCCGTGCGCTGCGTCGACTACGCGCCCGACGCGCGGCGGCTGCTCACGGCGTCGGACGACAAGACGGTGAAGATCTGGGCGCTGCCGCAGCGCAAGTTCCTCTGCACGCTCGGCGCCGGCGAGCTGGGCAGCCCCGGGGCCGCGAAGAGCCCGCGGCTCCGCGGCGGCGCGGGCTCGGCGACGACGAGCCACAGCAACTGGGTCCGCGCGGCCAAGTGGGCGCCCGACGGCCGCCTCTGCGCGTCAGCGTCCGACGACAAGCTCGTCAAGCTCTGGGACGTCGAGGGCCGGTCCTGCGTGCGCACGTTCTTCGAGCACGAGGGCGCCGTGCGCGACGTCGCCTTCTCCGGCGACGGCACGTGCGTCGTGTCCGGCGGCGACGACGGCAAGGTCAACGTCTGGGACGCGCGGAGCCACGGCCTCATCCAGCACTACGCGTCCCACGCCGGGCCCATCACGTCCATCGCCATGGAGCCCCGCGCGGGCCACTACCTCGCGTCGTCGGGCGACGACGGCACGCTCAAGCTCTACGACCTGCGCCAGGGCCAGGTGCTCTACACGCTCCGCGGCCACGAGGGCGCGGCGACGGCCGCGGCCTTCTCGCCGCGGTCCACGGACGGCGAGCTCTTCGCGTCCGGCGGCGCGGACAAGGTCGTCATGGTCTGGCGCACGAAGCTCGACGGCTGCGCGCCCCAGCCCCCGTCGACGACGAAGCCCCGGGCCGCGCGCGCCAAGGGCGGCGCGCTCAAGGCGACGACGCGCGGCAACAAGACGCCCGCGCCGCACCACCCGGCGGTCTTCGAGCCCAAGTCCCTCGCGCCGCCCGTGCTCCCCGCGTCGACGCACGCGCCGACGCTCGCGCCGCCGCCGCCGCCCGTCGCCGCGGCGTCGCCCGCGTCGCCCGCGGCGCCGCCGCCGGCCGCGGCGCCCCGCGCGTTCGCCGCGGACCCGGACGTGGAGAACGCCGTCATCGAGGAGCTCGTCGTGCCGCCCGACGACCCCGCCGCGCTCCGCGCGCCGTTCCCGCGCGCGCCGGCCGCGGCCGCGCCCGCCGCGCCCGCGGCCGCGGCGCGCGACCCGGACCACGCGCTCGGCGCCGCGCCGCGCGGCGTCGACCGCGCCATGCTCCCCGAGGTCGTCGCCTCGACGCTCGACCACGTCGTCGGCCAGCTCGACATCATCACGTCCACGCTCGCGATCCTCGAGCAGCGCCTCTCCATCACCGAGGACCGCGTCTCCACGATCCTCAAGTCCAAGACCGAGGAGCCGTCCTCCTAGAGCGCGGCGCGCTCCAGAAGACCCCGCCCATTTTCAGATAACGCGAACGCACGGAGCCATCTTTAGAACTTACTTGGCCGACCGGAGCTTGCTCCGCGCGTCCTCGACGTCGTCGATGCGCAGGACGGAGTCCGGCAGCTCCGGGGCGCTCGGCTGCTCGGGCGCGGGCTCCGCGGCGGGCTCGAGCGCGCCGACCTGCCGCGGCGGCTTCGCGGCGGCGACCCTGGCGAGGGCCGAGTAGTAGCGCGCGGCCTTCGTCGACGCGAGCCGCTGTTTCTCGGGTTCGTCTTCCGTCGGTTGCTCCTCCTCCTCCTCGGCAAGCGGCTCGGCGGATTCGTCGGCGACTTGCTCCTCGGCTGCTGGCGGCGGCGGCGGCGCTGCTTCTTCTTCTTCCGGCGGCGGCGGCGGAGACGCCTCCGGCGCCTCGGCGGCGGGCGGCGGCGGCGGCGGCGCGTCGTCGGCCGCGTTCTCCTCTTTCAGCGGCTCCCGAATTCGCTTCAAGTACGCCTTCGTCGGCGCGTCGGCCTGGCCCTTGATGCGGAGCGACGAGGCGCGGTTCTTGCTGACCGCCTCCTCCTCTTCGTTCTCCCACTGCAGCACCCACTGATCCTCCTTGTCGCCTTCCAGCAGCGTGCCGAAAATGTAGGTTTTGCCGCTGTCGATCTTCGCGCGCTTCCGCACGACATCACCTTGCGCTATTGGCTCGGTACCTAAAAATTCCTCCACGCGGCCGTCCCAAACGCGCTTCATAATGGCAACGGGCCGGGCTGCCCTGGGAAAGAAACCAATGTTGATCGCCGTTTGCCACAAGATGCCGCTGAGTGGCATCTCAGAGTCTCGATCGCGGCCAGCATCAAACCAATCATATGATGCGCGTCTTCGCCCTCGCTGCGGCCGCTTCGGCCGCCATCCTGGAGCCCATCGGGTACGACCGGGAGGGCTCGGCATTGGCTTTCCTCACGAACGCCGGCGTCGAGGCGACGGCCGCCGACGTCGCGGATTTGAACAAGGACGCGCCGAGCCTCGTGGCCATGCTCGCCATGGCCACGGACGCGCCGGAGCAGCTCGCGGACCTCATCAAGGCGTCGCCGATGTCCGTCATCGCCGACGAGGTCGACATGCCCGCCGCCGGCGCCGGCGCCGCCGCGCTCCCCGTCGTCGTCGCGCACGGCATGGGCGACTCGTGCTACAACTCGGGCATGAAGTCCATCACCGAGGCGGCGGGCAAGAAGCTCAACGCCTACGCGACGTGCGTGCCCACGGCCGAGGGCTGGCTCTTCGACACCATCGACGGCTTTTTGAAGAACATGGACAAGTCCGTCGACTTCTTCGCGGCGAAGATCCGCGCCGACCCGAAGCTCGCGGGCGGCTTCAACGCCTTCGGCTTCTCCCAGGGCAACAACGTCATCCGCGGCTACATCATCAAGTACAACGACCCGCCGGTGAAGAACTTCATGTCCATCTGCGGCATCAACGCGGGCGTCGGCGCGTTCCCGCAGTGCTCGCCCGAGATCCCCGTCGTCGGCCCGACGGTCTGCAAGGGCCTCGCGGAGGTCCTCGGCGACCTCGCCTACAACAAGCTCGTCCAGGACATCCTCTTCCAGGCGAACTACTACCGCGACCCCGCCAAGACGTCCGACGCGTCCTACCTCAAGAACTCGCGGCTCGCGCACTGGAACGGCGAGGGCGAGGTCAACGCGACCTACGTCGCCAACTGGGCGAAGACGGACAACTTCATCTGGGTCGAGGGCACGCTCGACACGGTCGTCTGGCCGCGCCAGGGCGAGCAGTGGGGCGCCATGGACCCCAAGGACCCGTGGAAGACCGTGCTGCCGATGAACGAGACGGACTGGTACACGAAGGACACCTTCGGGCTCAAGACCGCCGACGAGGCGGGCAAGAACCACTTCGAGTCCTTCGTCGGCGAGCACATCCGCATGACCGACGCCCAGCTCATGGGCTGGCTCGAGAAGTACTTCGCCTGAGTGAGCCGCCGCGCGGGCGCGCGCCATTTTTAACAACCGGCGAGACCGTGTTACACCGCGATCAGGGGCTGCGCGTCCTCCGTCTCCAGCGGGGACCCCAGCGGCGCGGGGGAGCCGGTCCGGCGCCGCGCGCGGACGCGCCGCGCGGCGTCGGACGCGAGGAACGAGAGGCAGTGCCCGCAGAGCCCCGCCGTGTAGACGCCGGCGCAGCAGAGCGTCGCGAGCCAGCCCCGCCGCGTCGTCGCGTCGCGGAGGCACGCCAGTGCCTATCACGCACGCGATTTTCGGAGCCAAAATCTCCCAAAGATTGGACGCCGGCGAGCGCCTCGGCCTCGGACGACGCGTGCGAGTACGTCGCCCCGAGGCGCCGCGTCGCCGCGTCGTAGAGGAAGAGCGCCTTGAGCGTCGAGCCGCGCTCGTGGTCCCGCGTGACGACGATGATGTGCGGCGCCGCGAGGAGGCCGCAGCAGCAGCCGCCGCGCGAGCCGGCGAAGACGCCGACCATGAGGAAGATCTGGTCCAGCGCGGCCGTGCGCGTGCTCGTCGGCGTGACGACGCTCGCCGCGCGCTGGTGGGGGCTCGCGTGGGCCGCGACGGCGTGGATGTCGACGTTTCTCAGCGATATTTCGCGCAGGCTGTGGCACGCGCCGACCGTGTCCATGTCTATGTAAACGGCGATGCGCATCGACGGCTCCCGCATGGCCTCGACGTCGACGCGCGGCGGCGGCGGCGACGATCGCTGGCGCTGCTTGCGCGGCGTGCGGATGATCATGGGGTCTCGAGCTTACAACCTCGAGATCGGGGCAGCAGCCTCAAAGCCATCGGGCAGCCTCGCAGAAGCTGGTGATGAAGGTGCTGCACATGTATCTGTTTTTGCATGACATCCGGCTCCCGGGGCTGCCTCTCGTCCTCGAGCATGGCCTACGTCCCGCTCGAAGATGCGCAGGCGTCGACGGCGCGGCGACGGCGGCGCGGCGCCCTCGCCCTCGGCGCCCTCGCGGCGACCGCGGGCGCCGCCGTGAGGGTCGCGCGGCGGCCGCTGTTCCAGGCGCTGGCCGCGGACACGGACGCGACGCTGGGCTTTAGCTGCTCCAACGAGTACAGCTCCGCGGCGTCGCCGGGCCCCGGCGTCGGCTACCTGCACCTCGACCCGCGCTACACGGTCGAGCCCGCGCGGCTCACGACGCTCGAGGCGCTCTCGAGCCCGCACGCGCCGACGTCGTGCGGCTGGGAGGTCGCGCTCGAGATGGGGGCGGCGTCGGACGTCTACGACGACGAGGTGGCGTCGCGGTCCTTCACGGCCAACGGGACGACGGTGGCCGTCGTCTTCCCGCGGCCCGGGACCTACGCGGTGACCGTGTCGTGCCTCAACGGCGCCGCCGCGGGCAAGCACAAGACGCTGAGCGCGACGAAGAAGGTCACGTGCACCTACGTGCGCCGCGAGCTCCGCGAGCTCAGCGACGCGGACCGCGACGCCTTCCTCGACGCCTTCATGGTCATGGCGTCGACGGGCAGCGGCGCGGGCCAGCGGCTCTACGGGCAGCACTACCGCGCGCTGTCCGAGTTCGAGTCCATGCACCTCGTCGCGGCCGGCGGCGCCCGCGTGGACCACATCCACGACGGCCTGGGCATGCCCACGCAGCACATCGCCATGAGCGCCGAGTTCGAGCTGAGCCTGCAGTCCGTCGCGAAGCAGATCTCGCTGCCGTACTGGGACTACACGGTCGACTCCTACCTCGTCAAGGCGGCGAAGAACGGCGACAAGACCCAGGCCATCTTCTCCTCGGACCTCTTCTCCGACGACTGGTTTGGCGCGACGAGCGGCCAGCGCCACACGGTGACGAGCGGCCGCTTCGGCTACCTCGAGGTCCCGCTGAACGCGTCCGCGGAGATGCACTCGCCCTTCGGCTACCTGCGCGCGCCCTGGAACGTGAACCCGAGCCCCTTTGTGACGCGCTACCACAACTTGTGCGGCATGGACCTCACGGCCGCGGCGACGGGCGGCGGCAGCAACGGCATCGTCGACTACACGTGGCCGACGTGCGCGATCCACCACAAGATGACCTTCAGCGACCTGTACAGTTCCTGGTACAAGTGGTCCTGGAACATCGGCTACACGCCCCACGGGCCCGTGCACGCCTGGATCGGCGGCGTCGGCGGCGACTGCGAGTCCGCGTTCGACGGGCTGGCGCCGATCGTCGGCGACGCCGCGGTCATGGGCCTCAAGGCGGGGAGCTTCGGGCTGCTGAAGGACGCCTACCGGTCGAAGATCGTGACCATGCCGACCTACTGCGCCATGGACAGCGGCCGGTCCTGCCGCTGGAACTGCCCGAACTTCACGGCGATGGGCTCGAGCGACGCGCGGACGCGGAGCGCGTTCCAGTTCCTCAACACCTACGGCGTCGACGTGTCCTCGCTCGTCTGGAAGGACCAGCTCGAGGTCGTCGAGACCGTCTTCTGCGAGACGACCTACTGGCCCGGCGACCACCTCGAGGCCGCGAGCCCCATCGAGGCGTCGTTCTGGCCCATCCACCCGACGATCGAGCGCCTGCTCCACTACAAGGCGCTGGCCCTGCCCTTCAAGGAGCACCTCTGGGAGGACATCTCCGCGGGGCCGGGCAAGAGCCTCTACTGCACCGAGGACATGACCGAGTGCCGCGGCCACCACCCCTGGGACCTCACGTTCTGGCAGGTCACCGCGAAGAACGGCACCGACGGCTACGTCAAGTCCTACCTCACGAACGAGGAGGTCCGCCAGCTCACGTCGCCGAACGAGAACTACTCGCTCCCCTACATCTACAACCACTTCGAGTGGCCCCACTGCGACGAGGACGGCTACCCCTTCCGCAAGCTCGAGAGCCCCGCGCTCTCGTCGTCCTCCTGAGCCCCCGAACTGTGTCGGGCGTGTCTAAGTGTGGGAGGAAATTACCCGGGATCTAGTGCCAGACGCTCGGGATTGGCGCGATTAAGCATCATGACCCGGAGCCTCCGACGAAGGCCCGGGGCTTCGCGCGCGTTTGCGACTCGCCTGCTCGTTTTCTTTGCTGAAGCGTTCCTGCATTTCGGCCAACTTGTACTTGTACCACGCGCAAGAGAGCACCTTCCACACCAAGTCCCGCAGCGGACCCTCCTCGAACTGGTCGGCGACCGCCGTCATCGTCTGCTCTTTCCCCCAGACCGCGTCGCGCAGCGAGCCGAGCGTCCATCCCCAACATTCGAGAGCGGGCGGCAGGTCGATCTCCGTCTTTCCCTCCAGCTCCGCCTGCTCCATGGGCTCCTTGGTCTCCGCGTAGAACTTCGCCGCGGCCTCGGAGCCCGCGATGATTTCGTTCTGCAGCAGCACTGCCGCCATCTCCATGTCTTTGGTGCACGGCAGCGGGCAATATTCGTGCGTGAGATGCTGGATGTTCGAGTAGAACTCCGCGTGGTATGCCATCTGGCCGTTGGGGTGCTTCTGCTTCACGAGCCAGCGCACCGCCTCGCAGGAATCCCTACCTACCGCCTCCAGAGCCTCCATCAAGCACCAAAAAGCTCGAGGCACTTTAAGATGCACTACCATTGCACAGCAATTTAAGCCTCTCGTGGGGAGATCTCGTGGGGATTATGCTGTCTCTGCGTCATCGCGCGACGCCGGAGCAGTGCTCGGCAACACAGACGAGATGATGCGTTCGGCGTCATCGGGCGACGGTGCACAAGCGTCCGACGCATCCGACGAGGAAGAAGAAGACGAGATCGTCGCCTGCAAGCGCTGCGAGCGCGCGTGGCTGGCGCCCGAGGACTGGGCGCGCGACGGCCTCGCGGCCTGCTGGCCCGCGCTCCGCGAGAAGCTCCTGAGCACCTCGACGCCCATCGCGCGCGAGGACGCCGCCGCGCTCACGCGAGAGCGCTTCGCGGCGGAGTACGAAGCGAAGCGCCGGCCGTGCGTCGTCGCGAACCGCGACGCGGCCCGGGAGCCGCTCGCGCTCGCGGCGCTCCTCGACGCGTTCGGCGACCTCAACTGGCGCGTGTCGGACACCCACGGCCAGATGGTCGGCCTCCGCGAGTGGTGGGCCTACGCGCGCGCCACGGACGACGACGCGCCCTTCGGCATCTACGACGCCGAGTTCGGCGACGAGGGGAACCCGACGGCGCGCCTCGCGGCGGCCTACGACGTCCCGGCCTTCGCGGCCGAGGACGCGTTCGCGCGCGCCGCCGACGGCCCGCGGCCGCCCTGGCGCTGGATCCTCATGGGCGGCCCGCGGTCGGGCACGGGCATGCACGTCGACCCTTTGCACACGCACGCGTGGGTCCACCTCTGCGAGGGCCGCAAGCGCTGGCTCATGCTGCCGCCGGACACGACCGCGGCCGCGCTGGCGACCGTCGGCGTCGCCGAGGGCCGGCAGCTGCCGAGCGGCCAGTTCTTCGCGCGGCACGGCGACGCCGCGGCGAAACTCCCCGGCGCGGTCGAGTTCGTCCAGGAGGCGGGCGAGCTCGTGTACGTGCCCGCGGGCTGGACGCACGCGGTGCTGAACCTGGACGCGACGGTCGCCGTGACCCACAACTACGCGACGCTAACGCCGGCGTGCGTCGAGGCGACGGCCAAGGAGGAGCCCGAGTTCTTCATTCGCTTGCTGCGGGGCTTTCCCCCGGGGCTTTCCCCCGCGCTCGACGCCTACCGCGCCGCGACCCCGAGACCGCTGGCCGTGCCGGACGTCGCGGCGCTCGTGCTCTCCTTCTGCGACACGCAGCGCTGCGTCGAGGCCGCGGCGACGAGCCGCGCGTTCGTCGCGCGCCTCGACGCCGTCTTCTGGGCCGCGCGGCTCAGAGCGGACTTTGGCGAGGCGGCGCACGCGGCGGCGGCGGTCTTTTCGAGCTCGCTGGCGGCCTGGCGGCGGCGCTACCTCGACGCGCAGGAGGCCGACGCCATGGAGGAGGCGGAGATCTACGGCGGGCTGTGCTAAGTTAGCGGAGATTCCACGGGAGGCGGAGCGTCGTCCGCCGGCGGGCCGTCGAAGTCGATCCGCAGCGCGGTGTTGTGCTCGTCCTTGGCGAGCGCGTCGCGGAGCGCGTCGACGCCGGCCCGCGTGCAGCTCGTCCGGTGGAGCGACAGGTCCGCGAGGGCCAGGGGCAGGTCGGCGGCGACGTCGGCGACGTCGAGGAGGAGCTCGTCGTCGACGGCGCTGCAGTCCGCGAGCGCGAGCGCCTCGAGGCGGAGGCACTTGCGGAGCAGGGGCTCGAGCGCGTAGTTGTCGACCGTCGGCCCGCCGCGGACGGCGACGCGGCGCAGGTTCGGGCAGCCGGCGGCGAGGGCCTTGCCCGCCGCCACGTCGACGCCGAAGGCCGCGCGCAGCTCCAGGTCCCGCAGGAGGCCGCACTCCTTGCCGAGGGCCTCGCAGAGCTCGTCCGCGCCGCGCACGGGCTTCGCGTCGACCGCGTAGAGCAGCGGGCAGCCCCGGAGCGCGGCGCGCCAGAAGCCGTCGGGCGCGGAGACGTCGTCGAGGCGGAGCGACGTCAGGCGCGACCCGCAGGCGCCGAGCGCGGCGTCGACGGGAAAGGCCAAGGTCCCGCGGAGCGCGACCTCGGCGACGCGCGGGCAGCGCACGAGGCACGCGGCGACGAGGGCGCCGTCGTCGTCGGCGCACTCGACGCGCCGCAGGTCGTCGAGCGCGCCGTCGGGCGCCGTCGCCAGCGCGCGCCACGTCAGCCGCGGCGCGAGCGCGGCCGCGAGCCCCGCGTCCGCCGCGCGCCGCGCCGCGCGGCAGGTGGCGCCAAAGGCCACGGCGTCGGCCGCGAGGGCCGCGCGGGCCGCGGCGTCCAACACCCGCGGCGGCGCCGCGCGCCGCCAGTCGAGGCAGGCGAGCACGCGGCGGCCGGCGGCCTCGGGGAGGCCGCGCGCCGACGGCTCGCCGACGGCCGCGGAGGCGGCGCGCGCGTGCTCGTCGAGCTTCGCGGCGATGTGCGCGTCGAGGGGCGCGCCGCCGGGCGCCACGGGCCGCTCCGCGAGCTCCTGGACCTGCGCCTCGTAGGCCTTCCGCCGGTGCTTGCACTCGAGCCGCTGCCGCTTCAGCACCTTCTCCTCGCGCGGCGGCAGCCGCAATCCGTCCGCGGCCTGGAAGGCGCGCAGGATCTCCGGCGCGCCGTCGCCGAGCGCGCAGCGCAGCGCCGCCGCGTGCCGCGCGTACGCCTTGGCGTACGTCGGGTCCGCCTCCGCGCTCGCGGCCGCGTCGTCGACGGCGCCGCGGACGTCGGCGAAGTAGGACAGCTTGAGCATGGACAGGTTGCCCAGCGCGCGCGCCTTGGACTCCGCCGCCGCGCCGGGTAGGTCGCCGCTCAGCCGCACGGCCTCGGTCCAGTCGCGCAGCGCGCCGGCGAGGTCGCCCTCGCCGAAGGACGCGTTGCCGCGCGTGCGCGCCAGCTCCGCGCGGAAGCAGTCCTCGATGGCCGGCGCGTTCGCCCGCACTTCCTTCGCCACCGCGGCGGCCAACGCGTCGGCCTTTTTTGTTGCGTCGGGTTTGTCGGCTGCCATCTCGCAGTTGGGCTGCTTTATGAACTGCTTGCCCTTCTTGTTGCAGTTCTTTAGCGCGCGCGGGCGCTGGTGTCTCGAGAGCTCTCTCGGAGCGGGTCCACTTCAGAGCTCCTCGTAGAGGATCGGCGTGGCGAAGGCCACGCGCTCGAGGGACCGTTCCCGATCCTCGCCGAGCGGCGACGCCACGGGCGCCTCGTACGCGCCGACCGCGGGCAGCTCCTGGGCCGCGGCGACGTCGTCGCGGAAGGCGCCGGTGACGTCGTCGGTGCCGCGCTTGCCGCGGGACCCGCCGGCGACGAAGCAGCCGACGCAGAAGAGGCACAGGTAGCACAGGACGAGGCCGGCGACGGACGCGACGAACATGACGAGCAGCACGAAGAAGAGGAGGCTCCGCCGCGACGCGCGCCGCTTGCGAACCGTCGGCACCACCGAGGGGCACTTCGTCGGGTCGGGCGAGTCCGTCGGCGCGGCGGCGGGCACGGCGCTCGGCGCGGGACTCGGCGACGCGCTCGGCTTGGTGACGACGCGGTAGATGTCGGCCACCTGGAGGCCCACGTACTCGCAGTTGTCGATGCGCTTGTTCGTCTTGCACTCGCCGTCGGCTTCGCAGAGGTCGCCGAGGCCGAGCGGGCCGCTGCAATCGGGCATGTCCACGATGTGCGCGTCCGAGGGGCAGCCCTCGTCCTGGAAGGGCAGCGCCTCCAGGCACGTCGCGCCGCCGCTCGCGAAGGCGCAGATCTCCAGGCATTGGTCGGCGGAGGCGGCCGCGCGGTTCGTCGGGTCGGGCGAGTCCGCCGGCGCGGCGGCGGGCACGGCGCTCGGCGCGGGACTCGGCTTGGTGACGACGCGGTAGATGTCGGCCACCTGGAGGCCCACGTACTCGCAGTTGTCGATGCGCTTGTTTGTCTTGCACTCGCCGTCGGCTTCGCAGAGGTCGCCGAGGCCGAGCGGGCCGCTGCAGTCCGGCATGTCCACGATGTGCGCGTCCGAGGGGCAGCCCTCGTCCTGGAAGGGCAGCGCCTCCAGGCACGTCGCGCCGCCGCTCGCGAAGGCGCAAATCTCCAAGCAGTGGTCGTCGGCGGAGGCCGCACGGCGTCGCGGCGCGAGGCGTTGCCGCGGCTCCTCGGCGACGGCGAGGCACAGCATCGCGAGGAGGATGTGCGGTGCCATAAGAATTCTTTCGGACTGCAACTAAAGTTTGAAGTTTTCAACATCTTGGACTGATGTGCTATCTTCGGACGGTGTGGTTCAGACGCGGCTCGCGAAATCTGCGGCCGTCCTCGGTTGCGATGCCGTTCAAAGTGTCTAGTCACCGAGTCGGCCGGCGCGGCGTACCTGGGTGTTGCGCGCTGGGTTACCAGTGGCGAGTAGGAGTCGCCGAGCGCCTCGTGACCTCGGGAGACGCGCGCACCTCGGTGCGGCGCGCCCCCGTCTAAAACTCAGTCCCGGCTACAGTGGCTATCCAGTCGCGAGCCATTACGACGCGCGCGCGCCGCGGGCTCCGCCGCGACGTCGCGCGCGAGAGCGTCGTCGCGCTCCGAGCCTCCGGAGCCGCCGGCGACGACGCGGGCGGGTCTACCACTCGCTGAACTTCTGGTCGTAGACCGTGGCCGTGTTGGTCTCCTCGACCTCGACCTTTTGCTCGAACATCTCCTCCGTCGCCTCGGTCTTGATGACCTCGCCGAGCTTCTCGTTTAATTCTTCCGTGATTTTCGTGCAGTCGCTGCCCTTGATCCCCGACACCGTCTCCTCGATGCGCCCGTCCTTGTGGATGCGGAATTTGACGCGCACGCTCTCCCCAAAGAGGGCCGAGCTTGGTCTCGCCTGGTGCGGCGCGTTGAACGCGGTGGCCGTCGCGCAGAGCGTGACGAGGAAGGCGCGGGGGAGAGGCATGGCTGCGGCTAAGGTTTAGAGGCGGTTTGATGTCGCCTGAGCGGTCGCGCGCGCCGTCCAGATGGCTGTGGACGGCTCGAGTCCTGGCCACGCCGGCACCGGCGCGGTGCCTTGCCGTCAAGGTGCTTTGGGTTGCAGCTGGCGGCGAGGTGAGAGCTCCTTCGACGGCCCAGCACACGGCAATTCGATGCGCTGCATAAGTTTTTTTAGCGCAAGCATGCTTCTCGCAACGATCCGGGCCTTTCGAGCGCCGCCGAGCCCCTTTTTGCGCCGCACGACGGCCCTCTTCGCCGCCAAGGGCAAGGCCAAGGGCAAAAACAGGAAGGTCAAGGAGGAGACGCCCGAGCACGAGCGGTCCGTCGCCGGCGCCATCAACTGGTACCCGGGCCACATCGCGCGCGCCGAGCGCGAGCTGCGCGACTACCTGAAGCGCGTCGACGTCGTCATCGAGGCGCGCGACGCGCGCATCGGCGCGACGACGGCGCACCCCGACGTGTCCGAGTGGATCGGCGCGCGGCCGCGCGTCGTCGTCTTCACCTTCGCGGACCTCGCGCCGGCGAACGTCGTGCGCGACTGGAAGGAGGAGCTGTCGCGCGACGTGCCCGTGTTTTTCGTCGACGCGAAGCGCGGCGGCGCCAAGGCGCTCCAGGGCATCCGCAACGAGCTGACGAAGGCGGGCCGCGTCGTCAACGAGAAGCGCGCGAAGAAGGGCATCATGCCGCGCGCGGCGCGCGTCGCCGTCATCGGCTACCCGAACGTCGGCAAGTCGGCGCTCATCAACAAGCTCGCGGGCCGCAAGGCGGCCAAGTCGGAGAACAAGGCCGGCGTGACGCGGAGCCTGAACTGGGTGCGCAGCAAGCCGTCGACGCAGGGCAAGGGCTTGCCCTTCGAGCTGTTGGATTCGCCGGGCATCATCCCCGCGAAGCAGCTGAACCAGCGCATGGCCGCGCGCCTCGCGATCTGCGGCGACATCGGCGACGCGTCCTACGACACGCGCCTCGTCGCGGAGGCTTTGGTCGAGGAGCTCACGACGCGCCGCGACGAGCGCTACGCCCGGGACGGCGGCGCGAGCCTCCTCTCCAAGTACGGCGTCGACCCGGACGTCTTCGCGCCCGACGTCTACGTCGACGAGCTCGCGGACCTGCGCTACGAGGGCGACGCGGGCACGGCGGCCATGGCCATCCTCACGGACTTCCGCGCGGGGCGCCTCGGCAAGGTCGCGCTCGAGGGCCCGAAGGCGCCGCAGCGCGCCGCGCCGGAGCCGCCCGCGGACGCGCCCAAGCCCAAGCCCGTCGTCGTGAAAAACGAGGACGCGAAACGACCACTCTCCGACGAGGAGCGCGAGATGGCCGAGCGCCGCGACGCGGGCGACTGGGTCGGCTGGTAACACATTTGGTTGAAGCTCTCGTTGAGTTTTTCAGCAGTGAGATGGGAGCTGATTTTGAGCCGTGATGCTGCGTCTTGCAGCCGCGGCGCGGCGCGGCGTCGTCGCGCCCCCGCGACCAGCCGTGCGCTGCAACCTGCGACGAGTGCGCCACCAGAGCAGCACCTCGCCGCCGCAGCGCGCCGTCGTGCGCCACCAGAGCAGCACCCGGGAAAAAGCGCGGCACTACTACGAGCGCCTCGAGGCCGCGACGGCGCTCTCGCTCAAGCAGGCGTGCGCGACGCCGTATTTATCCACCATACAGTACTCCGGCGCGGCGATCATCCTCTACGCGTACTCGGAGACGGACGTGATGATGCTGCGTTTGTGGACCGTGAGCGGCCTGCTCTGCTACAGCCTCGTGCCGAACGTGGTCCGCGGCAACGTGCTGCTGAGCGCCTGGGCCTGCCTCTTCGTGGGCATCAACGCCGTGCGGCTCGTCGAGCTCGCGAGCGAGCGCGCGCCCGTGCAGCTCGACGACGACGAGTGGGCGTGCTACGAGCGGAGCGGCCTCGCGCGCTTCGTGCCGCCCCAGTGCTTCAAGCGCCTCGCGGCGAGCGGCGAGTGGCGCGACCTCGAACCCGACGCGGTCATCAAGCGCGAGAACGAGAAGTCGCCGAACTTCTTCGTCGTCCGGAGCGGCAGCGTGCTGCTCAGCGCGCACGGCCAGCCCGTCGAGCGCGGCGTCTTGGAGGCCGGCGCGCTCGTGGGCATCCCGGACCTCGTCGGCGCGTCGCGGTCCTCGAGCTCGACGAAATTGCGGGCGACGGTGGGCCCCGGCGGCGCGCGCGTCTTGGTGTGGACCGCGGCGGAGTTCCGGCGCGCGATCGAGCGCGAGAAGGACCCGCGCCTCGAGGGCGCGCTCGTCAAGTTCGTCAACGAGCAATTGATGAAGAAGATGCACCTCCGGGACCACGGCCACTCGCTCGAGCGCTACGACGCCCTGCTCGGCGCCGCGCTCCGGGGCGTCGACGCGCGCGTGTCGCCCGACGACAAGGCGGCGCTCCAGGCCTTCCGCGCGGCGCACGGCCTCACGGAGGGCGACCACGCCGCGTGCCTCCACGCCCACGGCTGGACGCCCGAGGACTTCGAGATCGGCGCGCGCTTCGGCGTCGAGGGCACGACTCGGGCGCTCCAGGCCCTCGCGTCGCGAGTACACGTCGCGACGGCCGGCGGCGACGCGCCCCGGCCGCCGCCGCCCAAGGCCGCGGCGCTGCCCGACGCGCCGCCGGCGCGGGTCCGCGAGGCCGGCGGCGACGCGGCGCCCGCGCCGCCGAGGATCCTCGCCGCGGACCCGGCGGACGCGTCGGTAGACCCCGCGCGCAAAAAGGCCGACGCGCGGCGCGCCGTCGCCAAGGCCGTCGTCAAGGCCGCCGGCGAGCGCGCGCCCGCGCCCGCGCCGCCGCCGCCGCCGAGGCCCGCGGCGCCGCCGAAGCCGAAGAAGAAGCCGGCGCTCCTCCAGCGGCTTCGCGGCGCGTTCCCTTCGTTCCGCGGCACTACGCACCCGGACCCGCGGCCGCGCGGCGGCGACACCCTCTCCGAGAGCCTGCGGCCCGACCCCAGCAAGCTCCGCGCGTCCTACCAGGAGACCGCGTCCGCGCGGACGCGATCCGCGGGCGGCCTGAGCCTCGAGGAGATCGCGCGCCACATCGCCGCGCGGCGGCGAAACGAAGCGCCGCCGCCGCCGCCCCAGGCGACGCCGCGGAGCGGCAAGACCGGCGAGCACCGGGCGAAGCTGCTGTCCGTCTTCGACCCGCCGCCGGAGGCCGCGCCGCCGAAGCGCGCGCGGTGGCACGACGCGGTCCGCGACGCGCCGCCGCGGCCGCCCCTCGTCCGCGCGCGGAGCGACGCCGCGGCCCTCACGCACCCGGGCAAAAGCGCCGCGGCCGAGCGCCGGCCGGGGCTCAGGCGCACGCGGTCCGCCTAATTTGTTTGTTGCGAAGCTCGCGCTGTAGGCGGAGCCTACGATCCCTCAGCTTTTATTGACCTTCAAGTACTTCTTCAACTTGCAAATCCGGCGGGGCAGCAACATCGTCACGGCCCGAGAGCTGTCTACGTACGGCGCAGCTTAAGGCCCAGCTTTTAGTGACCTTCAACTTACTGCTTCAAGTTGCAAATCCGTCGGGCAGCATCATCGTCACGGCCCGAGAGCTGCCCCCGCGCAAAACGCATGGTGGCTCCTCGGGACGCTGCCATGCGTGCCATCGTGCGTTGACTTGCACGACATGGCGGCGCGCCTCGCCGCGCTGCTGCTCCTCGCGTCGCTCGCCGCGAACGACGGGACGCCGAGCGACGGCGACTTTCTGGATCTCGTGCACGACTACGACTTCACGGCCGGGAGCGGCACGCGCGTGCCCGACGGCGTCGGCGACTGCGCCGCGACGATCTGGGGCGGCGCGGCGCTGGCCGGCGGCGCGGGGCTGAAGCTCGACGGCGTCGACGACTACGTCGAGTTCCCGGAGGCGTGCTTCGGCGCGACGATCGGCGCGGGCGTCTTCATCGTCGTCGAGGCGTGCTACCGCGACGCGGCCTGCGGCGGTCGGACGTCGCGGGTCTGGGACTTTGGCCGCGGGCCGGGCGAGTCCGCGAGCCTGGCGCTCGACGGCGCCTGCGCCGCGTCGCTCGAGATCGAGAGCCGCGACGGCCGCGGCGCCGCGTCGTACGCGGCGCCGGGCGGCGGCGGCACCGTGCGCTGCATCGAGGCCGCCTTCTTCAACTCGTCGACGCCCGCGGGCCGCGTCCACGACGCCCCGACCAACGCGACGGCGGCGGCCTGCGCCGGCGGCGCCGCCGCGTGCCGCCGCGTGCCCGCGGATTTGGGCCCGTGCTCCGCGAACTACGTCGGGCGGAGCCAGTACGCCGGCGACGCCTTTTTGAACGCGACCGTGTCGCGGCTCCGCGTCTTCTCGCGGCCGAGCCCGACGGCCGCGCCGACCGCGTCGCCCGCGCCGTCGCGGTGGAGCCCGTCGCCCGCGCCGTCAATAACGCCGACGCGGTCGCCGGCGCCCACGGCGACGGCGGCGCCCACGGGCGGCCGCGGCGGCGGCCGGGGCTCCGACAGAAACGACGGCGCCGAGGTCGAGGTGCCCCTCGTCGTCGTGCTCGGCCTCGCCGTCACGCTGTTGATCAAGCTCGCGTGCTACGGCTGCCGGCGCTACGATTGCTGCTGCGGGCATGACTCCGAGGAGGAGAAAGAGCTCAAGGCGCAGCGCCGCGCGCACAGCGCGTCGTTCTGGGGCAAGCAGACCTTCTCCTTCAGCCCGGACCACGCGTGGTCCGAGAAGCGGGAGCCCGGCCGCGGCACGCTCGGCAACCTCCGGCTCGTCTTCATGGCCCACGTGCGCCCGAGCGCGCTCAAGATGTCCGTCTGGCAGGGCGTGAAGAACGCCAAGCAGGGCATCAAGCAGACGATCCGCGCGGGCAGGGGCGGCTTCTCCTTCCGCGCCAAGTCGCCGCCCAAGGGCGCCGGCCGCCAGGTCCAGGTCCAGCCCAAGGGCGAGGAAAAGCGGCCCGACGACAAGCTCGACGAGCGGCGCGCGCCCGCGGTGATCACGGTCGCGAGCCCATCGGCCGAGCGCCGCGAGTTCCTCGAGTCCCGGTTCCAGACCTGGCACCGGCCGCCGGGCGGCGCCGCGGTCCACCCGTCCTAGCTCCGTTTTTTATGTTGTTATTAACAGTCAACGCGCCGCCGTTCGGGGATCGTCCGGGCCGCGCGGGGCGAATTTAGTGCGCGTTCGACATGCCGGACTTGACGACGAGGTTGCCGTTGTCGTCGAGGGCGGGGACCTGCGAAGTCGACTGTTCGAGGAGCGCGCGACGCGCGGCGGCGACTGTTGAGCGGGCGCGACGCGCGGCGAGCACCGCGAGGGCGGCGGGCAAGGAAACCCATCGCAACACCGTGCCAACAGCGCGGCGAGCGAGGAAGCGTTTCGCGCGCGCGCCGAGCGGCACGCGAAGGCGGGCGAATTTCATCGAGACGGCGCGGCGCACCTCGCCCACCGCTTCCTTCTCGTAGGCAAAGGCCATCGGCGTCTTGTCCTCCGCTGGCTGAAGCATGAAGTACGCCGCGGTCGTGAAAACGACGGCGCCGACCGGCTTGGCCCTGTAAGCTCAAAATTTCGTGCCGCATTCTGCTGTCAGTGCTGAGGGAGGGAGAGTACGCACGCTTTGAGAATTTGGCTCAGCATTCTGCGCCGCGAAGGACTAATTTACCACAGTCTATCGTCGAGACGCAAGAATGTCAACACAGCACTGTCAGCAGCAACAACGGCTACAACATGGTCGTGCCGCGGGCTATGGGCTTCTCTCGTCTTTGCCGCATGCTATGGGCTGCTCTCGAGAATAGGGCAGTTCTCGCTCAGCTCCGGGAGCGCTGACGAGCTGCAGCAGCGGCCCTCGCACAGCTCTGACGTGATCCTCGAGCTTCATGAAGACATGGTGGCTTTGCTGCCTCACCGCCGCCACGGCCTGCTTCGACTGCTGGGACACGGGCGTCGTCTCGGACACGACCGCGGCATGCGTCGAGGACTGGTTCGGCATGGAGATCTTCACCGAGACCGGCGACGAGGAGCTCCGCTTCGTCGTCTACTTTCGCGAGGAGACGATCGAGGCGACGGCGCGGGACGTCGCGCTGCATCGCTGGGGCGGCGACGCGGGCCTCGCGCGCGAGGCCGCGGGCCGCATGCGCGACCGCGTCGCGGAGGGCGCGCCGTTCCGGCTGCGCTGCGCCAACGAGAGCGACGACCGCGTCTTCGCCGACTTCTTCGTGGAGGTCGGCGCGTCGAACCTCTTCCCGCTGCACGAGCAGCTCTTCCAGCGGTCCGACTGGGGCGGCCTCGCCGTCGAGCCGCTCGACTTCGCGCGGCGCCAGCTGCCGTCGCGGCCGGGGCTCCGCGCCGAGGGCGCCGCGCTGGGCTGCCCGCGCGGCGCGGCGACGACGCCGTTCTACGCCGTCGACGCGGCGCACCTCCACTCCGGCGCGGTGCCGGCCTACGCGCTCGGCGCGGCGTCCATCGAGCCCGGCGGGCCCTTCGCCGCGTGGGCGTCGGAGACGCGCGTGCCCTGCGCGACGTGGGCCGACGTCGCCGCGAGGCACGGGCTGGCGCCCTGCGGCGACCAGGCCATCACGCTGGTCAAGGTCGACGCCGAGGGCCGCGACGCCGCGATCGTCGGCGAGATCCTGGACTGGTACGACGCCGCGGCCTGCGACCGGCGGCCGTCGCGGATCCGCTACGAGGACCACGACGGGGCGAGCGTCGCGCTGCGCGGCCGCCTCGAGGGCGCGGGCTACGACTGCCGGCGCGACGAGGCCGTCGGCGACGTGGACTGCATGTCGAGGGACAACCGCGCTGAGTACGCGCGCTGGGCGTCGCAGTGGCCGCCCGATTAAACAAAAAAATGTATGGTGTTCGACCCTAGCCGCCGCACCTCGTCTTGCAGACGGCGTCGGCGAGCTTGCCGCACTTCGTCTCGCAGTGGAGGGCCGCGATGGAGCAGAGGCGGTCCGCGACGGAGGGGAACCGCGCACGAAAGTTCGCCTCGGAGACGGCCGCGCCGTCGGCGCTCTTGTAGAGGTCGAAGAACATCTCGCCGATCTCGTCCTCGGGCACCTTCTCCTTGATCAGGCGGTCGCGGAAGGCCGCGAAGCCGACGTCGTCCGCCTTGCCCGTCGCGGCCGCGATGTCGCGCCAGGGGCAGCAGCCGGTCCACGGCTTGCCGCCGCTGTGGACGCCGTGGAGCCCGAGGTCGGCCTCGGCGGCGGGCTTGGCCTCGACGGCCCGGCCGACGATCTTCGCCGGCGCGCCCACAGCCGTCGCGCCGGACGGCACGGACCGCAGCACGACGGCGCCGCAGCCGATCTTCGCGCCGTCGCCGATCTTGATGTTGCCCAATATCGAAACGCCCGCGCCGAGGAGCACGTCGCGGCCGACCTTGGGGTGGCGGTCGCCGCGCTCCTTGCCCGTCGCGCCGAGCGTCACGCCGTGCAGGATCGTGCAGCCCGCGCCGATCGTCGCCGTCTCGCCGACGACGACGCCCGTGCCGTGGTCGAAGACGACGGCCTTGCCGATGGTGCACGCCGGGTGGATGTCGACGGCTAACGCGTCGGACGCGCGGCCCTGGAGCCACTTGGCGAAGGACTTTTCGCCCCGGTCCCAGGACCGCCGCGCCACTCGGTGCGCGACGAGCGCGGCAAAACCCTTGAAGTTGAGCACGTCGAGGAGCGACTCGGCCGCGGGGTCGCGCTCGACGACGGCCGCCGCGTCGGCGCGCACGTTCTCGCCGATGGCGCAGCCGCCCTCGAGCGCGCGCTCGTCTTTTAGAGCGTCGACGAACGCGCGCCGCAGCGTCCGGAACGGCACGTCGCCGTCGGCGACGCGCGCGGCGACGGTCGCGCCGACGGCCTCCTCGAAGGACGCCGCGTCCAGGCAGTGGCGCAGCTGCGCGCGCAGGCGCGGGTCCGCCCGCGTCGCGGCGCGCGCCTCGCGCACGAGCTCCTCGAGAGCTTCGTCGCCGTGAAGGGTTTTCCTCCGTTTCTTCAGGAGGACGAGGGCTGCCGCGGCGGCGGCCAGCGATGCGGCCAGGGCGAGCTTGGTCATCGTGCTGTGTGTTCGTTGGTCTGCGGCTGGCTGTGGCCAGCGCGACGCTCGACGAGGCGGGAATGTTGAACGCAATCCAATGTTGTCGGCTTGTTGTCGGTAACTTTACTCGCGTAATTCGAACGCCGGCGCGATGTCAGGCCCGCGCACCCGCGGAGCCTGGCCGACGTGGACCCCTCCTGGAATGGCCGGCCTGGTGTCTGACAAGGAGTTTTTGCGCCTCAAGCAGCTCGCGCAGCAGCAACTCTTTCCGCCCAAGGTCGTGAATGCGTACGCGAACGCGCCGCGCGCGGCGGCGGCGAAGCGGCCCGGGTGGACGAGGCCAAACGGTGACGCAGCGCGTGCAGTGTGTCGTGGTGATGTAGATGGACTACACGATGCAATGGTGCGAGGTGCGGACCCGAACCACTCCTCCAAATCTCGTGGAATCATGGGTTCATATTCTTTGCTCGAGAAGGCTGCGAGCATTGGAAACGTGGACTGTTGCGCGCTTTTGGTGGCGGCGGGCGCGGACGTCAATTTCATAGCAGATTCCGAAGCGCCTTTACACGGCGGCTGCTGGAAGGGGCACGCCGCGGTCGTTTCATTCCTACTCAAATCTGGCGCGGACGTCGATTGTCGAGATAAAGACGGACAGACGCCTTTGCACATCGCCTGCGCGCTTGGGCACGCCGCGGTCGCTTCGCTGCTCCTCGCCGCCGGCGCTGACACGAATCAAAGAGATTATGTGCGCCTTGACGCGAGTCGAAAAAATTTTGTGCAACGGACCCCGTTTGACCGAGCTCTCCATCTCGGCCACCGAGGATGCGTCCTAGCATTACTTCGCGCCGGCGCGGAGATACAAGTGATACCGCCATCGGAACTCAGAAAATTTTCGCACTGGCACGGGGCCTGCAAGGTAGCGCGCGGGTCATACGCATGGCGCGAGTCATATGCATTCAACTCCAGAGTCAAACCCTTGAACGACTACCTCATTCGCATCCGCGACGCGGGCGGCTGGAAAGCGCACGTGGCGCGCCACCGCGCGCTCCTCGTCGGCCGCCTGCGCATTCTGCTGCGGAGATCGTCGACGACGCGAAGCGCCAGCTCGGCGCGCTGGAGCGGGCCGACCGATGAGAACGACGTCGGGATGAAGGCCTTCTTCGCGAAGCAAATGTCGACCATGCTCGTGAAGCAGGCGGAGGGGTATCTCGCGCACGCGAACATGTGGGCCAAGGCGGCGGGCATCCCGCCGACCCTCACGATCGGCGGCGAGCCCCAGCCGCTGAAGCGGAAGCGCGGCGTCAAGAAGGAGGTCGCGCCGCCGTCGTCGCGCTCGCGGCGGACGTCGGCGACGACGTCGGCGCGGACGTGCCGCCTCCCCGACGACGCCCTGGGCCTCATCGTGGACTTTTCCGCGCCTCAAGGCGGTAACTAGGGGTTATCGTCCGGGCAGAGGACCGCGCCGAACTGGAGGCGGTTGTAGAAGCCCGGCGGCGCGCGCGTCGCCCAGGCGGCCTTGAGGGCGTCGAGGGCCGTCGGCGGTCGGTGCTCGCCGCAGGGCGTCGCGAGCGTCCAGACGAAGGCCGCGTGGGCGAGGTCGACGACGCCGTCGGGCGGGCCGAGGTCGAACGGCCGCGCGAGGAGCGGGTCCACGAGCGCCTCGGCGCGCGCGGCGTCGTCCGGGTGGCGGTCCTCGCAGCCGTCGACGACGACGAGGGCCCGCTTCCCCGCGCGGCGCGTCGACGCGAGGTGCGCGCGGACCGCGGGCCAGTCGACGGCGTCGCCCGCGGCGACGCGCAGCGCGGCCGCGCCGGAGCCGGCCTCGAGCGCGGCCGTCGCGGCCGCGAGGAGCGGCGCGTCGCCCGCGAGGACGAGGGCCGCGGCGTGGTGCGCCCGCGCCGAGGCCCAGACCTTGCCGAAGCCGCGGACCTCCTCCGCCGCGGACGTCGCGGACGGCCCCGCGCCGACGGCCGCGGCGAACGCGTCCGCGAGCGCGGACCGCGGCAGCTCCGGCAGAGGGACCGCGGCGACCGGTGGCGCGGTGGGCGCGTCGCCGCGCCGCAGCGCCAGGGCCAGGGCGACGACGACGGCGGCGACGGCCGCGAGCGGCGCGAGCGCGGCCGGCCGGCGCGGCGCGCTCGCCTTCGGCGGCCGCGCCCGCGGCGGCAGCGGCGCGTCGAGGTCCACGGGCGGCGAGCGCAGCGGCGTCGCCGGCGCCAGGATCACGGCGGGCGTGGACGGCGGCGACGCGGGCGTGGCCTGCGGCGCGGAGCCCGAGGACATCCGCACGGTCCGCCGCGGCGTCGCTTTCCGCCGCGGCGTCGGCGCGGCCGCGGGCGCGTCGCCGTCGAGCCAGCGGGAGAGTTTCTTCTGGATGTTCGCCGTCGAGTCCTTGCTCGTGTACGCGAAGCCGAGCTCGTCGCAGGTGCTCTTCAGCTCGTCGCGCACGGCCTTGCTCGGCGATGCGCCGACGAGGTAGCGCGCTTGCGACCTCGCGCGCGCGCTCATTGTGCTGCGCGCTGCGCGTGTGCTGTGCGAGCGATGCGCGTAGTGGTGCGGAGCGATGCGCGCGATTTGCTGCGGAGATGGCAGCGCTTACAGCCGCGCGGCACGCTGCCAGTGGCGGCAGGCGACGACGGCAAGCAGCAAGCGAGCCACAGCCAGTGGGCTTGCACGATGTCTCTCCAGGGCAACCGCCGGCGTCGTGAAACGCGCGGGGACGCCCGTCGACGCCCGGAGAGAGCGCCGAGAGTACTGGGGGATCGTCTCGTGGCGTGGCGCGACCGTCGGCGGCGCTGGGGCGACGCGCCGCGCCGTCGACTGCGTTTCTCGGCGCAAAGCACCGGGGGCCCGCGGTCGCCATGCCCACGAGCCTCCCGGGCCTGGAGCCCCCCGGCGGCGGGCGGCGACGAGCCCTGGCGGACCGGCCGGCCGCCCCCGCGGCCGCGGTTCCGTCGCGCGGCCGTTCGCCGCCCGAGGCCGCCGCCGGCCGGAGCCCGAGCAAGGCCTCGGCCTCGTCGAGCGCTTCCTACGGGGGTTCGAGGCCTTCGTTCGCGCCGCGCGAGATCCCGGGGGGTGTCGCATAAAAGAGGCGCCGCGCGGTCGACGACGCGTTTCCCGCCCCCTCCGCAGCGTTCAAGATCTTCCTCTCGCCGGCCTTCTACAAGAAGACGGCGACGGAGTTCGGCGACATGGTCGCCACCAACTACTTAAAGAAGGGCATCATGGCGCAGCCCATCGTCGGCTTGATGGTCACCCTCGGCGTCACGGGCTACTTCGTCGAGTACGCCGTCCTCGGCCGGTACCACGTTGCGCACCACAAGGAGGAGGAGGCCGCCGCGTTGAAGGAGTACCGCGCGAAGCACGCGCACCACTAGGTCCGGCTTCCCCGGCCGCTTCCTCGGCCGCCTCCTTTCCGGCCCGCGCGAGCCCCCGCTCGCGCCGCGGCGACGTCGCCCCCACTACCTAAGTTTCCCTCGTACCATGATGATCAGGGCCCATCGCGCTTAGATTGCGACGGCCGGTCTACTTGGAGACGGCGTGGATCGCCTTGGCGACGTGGTCGACGTTCGACGGCGTGAGCCCCGCGACGGAGATGCGGCCGTCGAGCGTGCAGTAGACGTGGAACTCGTCGCGCATGGCCTGGACCTGGTCGGCCGTGAGCCCCGTGTAGGCGAACATGCCGATCTGGTCCGTGATGTGGGCCCAGTCGCGCGTGGACCCCGCGTCCGCGAGCTTGGCCTTGAGCGCCGCGCGCATCTCGGAGATGCGGTCGGCCATGGCCTTGCACTCGGCCGTCCACTTGGCGCGGAGTTGGGCATCGCCGAGGACCTCGGCGACGACGCGCGCGCCGTGCACCGGCGGGCTCGAGTACATGGGGCGGATGACGGCCTTGAGCTGCGACTCGAGCGCGCGCGCCTCCGCGGCGTCCGCGCAGACCATGGACAGCGCGCCGACGCGCTCGCCGTAGAGCCCGAAATTCTTCGCGTAGGACTGGGCGAGCATGAGCGTGTGGCCCTCGGCGACGAAGTGGCGGAGGCCGCCCGCGTCGCGCTCCGCGTCGCCGGACGCGAAGCCCTGGTACGCGCAGTCGAAGAAGAGCTGCGCGCCCGTGGCCTTGAGGGCCGCCGACAGGGCCTTCCACTGGTCCATGGACGGGTCGACGCCCGTCGGGTTGTGCGCGCAGGCGTGGAGCAGGATCGTCGCGCCGGACTCGGCGGCCGACAGGTCCTCGAGCATCGCGTCGAAGTCGAGCTTCGTGCGCGTCGCCGCGTCGAGGTAGCGGTACGTGCGGATCTCGAGGCCCGCGTCGCGGAAGATGTTCAGGTGGTTGCTCCACGTCGGGTCCGGCACGTAGATGGCCTGCTTCTTGCTCGCGTCGCCGCCGGTGAGCGACGGCAGGCGCTCGAGGAGCTGCGCGGCGACGCGGAGGCAGCCCGTGCCGCTGAGGGCCTGGGTGGCCGCGACGCGCTTCTCCGCGAGCGGCGCCGAGCCCGCGCCGTAGGCGAACTCGAGGCTCGACGCGAGGAACTTGGCGTCGCCGGTGATCGGCGCGTACTCGTGGTCCGTCAGCGACGCGACGACGCGCTTCTCCGCCTCGGCGATGGACGGCAGCACGTAGGGCTTGCCGTTCTCGTCGCGGTACGCGCCGACGCCCAGGGAGACCTTCTTGGCGTCCGTGTCCGCGAGGAAGTCCTGCGTCAAGCCCAAGATAGGATCGGCGGGCGCGCTCTGCACGTTGCTCCACGCGGACAAGCTGCGCGCGGCGGACCGGCGGGCCGGTGCGGCCATGGTGATGGCACGGCGGGCGAGCGCACGCTGAGCCATGCTGTCTTGCTCGGCGCTGCTGCAGACGACGGCGGGGCGCGAGAGAGCTGCTTCTCGGTTTGAAGAGCCTTCTCGAACTTGCAGTGACTTGCATTGACGTTGCACCAGATTGCACCGCGCGCGTGTCGGCCAGGCGTCGCAGCTCCAGCTGAAAGAAGACACCCCGATCCTCATCGCAATCGTGGTTTGCTGAACCAGCGGGCTTGTCGAAGGACCGTCGTCGCGAAACGCACGGCGACAACACACGACAAACCCCCCAAAAACTCTAGGTCAGCATCTTAATGCACGTCCCCATGGCGGCTCTCAGGATCGCGCGCTGGCCGTCGCGGTAGAACTTCGCGTAGTCCGCCGCGTTTCCCGGCGCCGCGGCGCTGCGGTCGTGGCGGTCCAGCGCGAGGAAGCCCTCCTGGAGCGCGAGCGCGAGCCGCTCGACGTCGCCGCGCGCGGGCGGGTCCGCGCTGCCGAGCTTGCGCCAGAGCGCCGGGGGCAGGACGCCGTCGGCCTTGAGCGCGCAGTCGGCGACGTCCGCGGCCTTGCCGCCGACGAGGTTGCAGACGTCGTTCTCGTTGCCGGGGAACGCGAAGCCGTAGGCCAGGAGCAGCTCGCCGTTGGACCGGCCCGCGCCGTAGGTGATCGTCGCCTCCTCGCCTTCGAGGAGCGGCCGCGCGTTCGCGAAGCGGAGCGGCGCCGACCGCCCCGCGCGCGAGATGGCGACTTCCGCGGCCTCGTCGTGGTTCAGGAAGTCGAGAAACGGCACGTAGGCCGTCGTCGCCGCGCCGCCGTCGAAGCCCGCTTCGAAGCCCCGGCTCCAGAGCATGCCGCGCGCCCACGCGAGGTCGCCGCACGTGACGTGCGGCGCGAAGGGCCGCACGCGCGCCGCGAGACGCGCCAGCGCTTCGTCGCCCGCGCGGACGGCCGCGAGGAGCGGCGTGCCGCCCAGCAGCGCGTCGGCCTCCGCCCGTCCCCAGCTGCCCGCGTCGACGCCCGGGTACGGCAGCGCGGCGGCGTAGGCGTAGAACGGCGACCGCGCGTCGAGGCGCGCGTCGGCGAGGGTCACGTAGAGCAGGTCGCGGCCCGTCGGCGGCGCGCGGCCCGCGGCGCGCATGCGGCGGAGCAAGCGTCGCCCGAAGGGCGTGCCCGCGGCGCGCCGCTCCGAGAGCACGAAGCGCGCCGGGCATTCGATCTCGAAGCCCTCCGGCAGCGCGCGCGCGGCGAAGAGGCCCTCGCCGCCGCGGCCGTCCGGCCGGCGCACGAGGCCGTGGGGCGCGTAGCCTGCCATGTGATTTCGGAGGCCGGCGCGCTGGCCTTTGAGCCGTCGCTTCGAGCGGCTGATGCGCCGGCGGCGCTGGCGCGTGGCGATGGCCATTCACAACGCAGCGATTGCTTTGCCGCAGCAATGCGGAATGGGAGCTGCGATTTTGCTGCGCCGCCACTCACACGCTGCTCAGTGACTCCTCGCAGCGTCAGCGACCGCGCCGCGTTGCTCCTAGGCCGATTGGGCTAGCCGCAAAAAGTGCCGAGGCATCGCTTTGCCACAAGGTAAACCAGGGTTAAACACGCATGTTGAAGCACCACTCGACGAAAAATGCCCACGAGCACAGACAAGACGAAATCGGCGCGCCTTACACGGCGGACTCTACTTGGGGTGCGGTCGGCGCGCTGCGGCGGGCCCGCCCTAGAGCGAGCGGGAGATCGCGGCGATCTTCGTCGCGGCGGAGAGGTCGAGGTACTTGTCGCCGATCTGGACCGTGAGGCCGCCGAGGAGCGCCGGGTCGACCTCCGTCGTCAGCTTGACGGTCTCGCCGGCGCCGAGGTGGGGCTCGAGGGCCTTGGAGATCTTCTTCGTCTGCGCGGCCGTGAGCTCCGTCGCGGACGTGATGACCGCGTCGACCTCCTTGCGCTCGGCCTTCATGAGCGTCGAGTAGGCGTCGATGACCTTGTCGACCTCGGAGAGGCGCGCGTTCGCGGCGAGGGCCGTGAGCGTGTTCGTCGTGAAGTGGCTCGTCTTCGAGCCCTCGAAGAGCTTCGCCACCGCCGCGACCTTCTCGTCGCGGGCGATCGTCGGGTTCTTGACAAAGTCCTTGAGGCTCGCCGACTTCTCGATGGCGTCGGCGAAGGCGAGGAGCTCCGTCTCGACCTTGGCCGTCGCGCCCTCCTTGGCCGCCGACACGTACGCGGCCGACGCGTAGCGCGCGTGGATCCCGAACAACTTCACGGGCGCCGTCGGCTCGGGCGCCGCGCTAAACCGCCGCGCCACGCGGAGCAAATTGCGCGCCATCTCTGCGGGGGGCGGGCGGCGGTGAGCGGCGCGGATCGCGTGTTGTTGGGCGAGGCGTGGTTTCTCGGCGCGCGGCGGGCCCCCGGCGCCGCGGAAAGCGGCGGCCGTCGGCGTCGTGGAGGGCCGGGGGTCTCTCCGCGCGGTTTTATGGGCAGCGGCGCGCGTCTCGCCCCCCCTCTCGCACGTTTCATGGACGCTGCCATAGACCAGTCGTCGCCGTGCGCAACCCGTGCTAGGGCATCTAGGCTAGGAAGGCAACATCGCCTCGGCGGCCTTTTGGGGCTCGAAGGCTGCCCCTCGCAGCCGGCCTTTGTCTTCGTTCGGCGCCGGCGCGCGTGGAGGCGGCGCCGAAAGGACGCGAAGCACGAGCACAAGGTCCGCCTCTTCCTCGGTATGGCGGAGGACGACGCCGTGTCCGTGTCCCTCTTCAGCGAGGAGGCGAGCGAGAGCGGCGGCGAGCTCGAGGAGTGGGCCTACGCCGCGGCGTCCCTCCTGCGGACGTCCTGCGACCGCGACGAGGACGTCGACGGCCACCCGACGTACTGTCTCCGCTGCCGGGTCCAGGACTTCAAGTGGACCGTGTCGAAGCTGCGCTTCGCCAAGTGGAGCGCCTTCGAGGAGCGCGTGCGGCGCCACGGCGCGCTCGCGCCGGACGCGGCCGAGGTCCCGTTCCCGCAGCGGCTCCGGCGCCAGGCGTTCGGCATCAAGCTCCCGGACGAGGAGGTGACGAAGCGCGCGCTCGCGCTCGACGCCTGGTGCGCCGAGCTCAGCAAGCGCGTGCGGGCCGCCTGCGCCGCGCGCGAGGGGGGCGGCGCGGCGGACGACGCGTCCGACCTCGACGCGACGCTCGTCGCGCTCGCGGCCTTCGCGCGCTTCGCCGAGGCGCGCGAGCCGCTGCTGGCGTCCGGGGCCCTGGCCCACGACCCCAAATTGCCGTCGCCGAGCGCCGAGATCCGCAAGCGGCCCGCGGCGGCGGCCGAGGCGCCGCCGGAAACACGCCTCGAGGAGAAGGACGAGAGCGTCGAGCGGAGCCTCGACGCCATCAACGCGCGCCTCGAGCAGCTCCGGGCGTCCCGCAAGGCCGCGCCGACGAAGAAGTCGCGCAAGTCGAGCCGCCGGTCCCTGTCGCTGCGGCCGCGGAAGGCGAGCGACGAGAAGCCGCCGCCGGAGCTGGCCGAGTCCCACACGTCGCCCGCGCGCGTCGGCCGCTCCGAGAGCGTCGAGGACCCGGCGCCGCGCGCCCAGAGCCTGGCGCCGCGGCCCGAGTCGCCGGGCGGCATCGACACGTTCCTGCGCAACGTCCGGGGCGACCTCGAGAAGCGGCGCGCGTCCGCGCGGCCCGCCCGCGACGCCGAGGCCGCGCCGGTGCTCACGCAGTCCGCGACGGAGATGCTCTTCGAGGTGCCCGCGGCGCCGGCGCCCGCGCTCACGCAGTCGGCGACGGAGACGCTCTTCGCGGCGCCCGCGCTGCCGAACCCGCCCGCGCTCGCGCCCGCGCCGACGGCGCCGGAGCTGACGCTGTCGGCGACGGCGACGCTCCTCGCCATCCCGCCCCAGGAGGCGCCGGACGCCCCGGCGCCGGACGTCGCGACGCTGCCGCGCGTGCCCGTCGCCGCGCCGCCCGCGCCGCCCGCGCCGCCGCCGGACCTCAGCGCCATGTCGGACGAGGAGCTGCTCGCGGAGCTCGCGCGGCGCCAGGCGGCCCAGCGGCCGCCGGCGCCGGCGGGCTCGATGACGTCCTTCCCGCGGACGGCGCGCACGGAGAGCAGCGACGCCTACGCGGACAGCGTCGACGCGGCCGTCGACGCGCCCGCGACGCCGACGCCGCGCGGCCGCTGCGCGACGATGGACCTCTACGACGGCGCCGTCGACCCCGAGGCCGAGGCGGCGCCGCGGTCCGCGCCCGCCGAGGCGCCGTCCCTCCTCTCGAGCCTGGGCCTCGGCTTCTACTAAAAACGATCCGTTGGACGAGCCGTTGCGGGTGAAAGGTTGCAGCGTCGGCCTCGCATCCGTCGCTTCAGGGGGATCGTGCCTTTTACTTGCTCGGCTGGCACCAGGTGTGGCTGGATCAGGGCGGGGCAGCCCCGAGCCCGTGTCAGAAGGGCGGATACCGCGCGCCCATGCCCGCCCGGGCGTGAGCCCGCGCCGCGCCCGACGCGCGGGACCCGCGGAACCAAGGAGAGAGACCCAGGGCAGCCTGGTGCAACGAGCGCAATTCTGGTGGGCCCGACCCCCACGGACGACATGAGCGTCGTCGCGACGCCGACGGCCGAGGTGCGCCCTGCCCCCCGTCCCCCCGCCGGCCGCGGCCCACCCCGCGCCGCGCAGGTCACGCCGGCGCCGACGCCGCGGTCGAGCTCGAGCGGCCTCTTCGAGGTCGTGACGCTCCCCGACGGCACGCGGCTGCTCATCGACGCGCGGAAGCTCGAGAAGCCGGGCACCGTCGACGAGTCGGAGCCGACGGTCCCCGCGGCGCCCGTGCGCCTCGACGACGGGGGCGGCAAGCACACGAAGCGCTACGCGCCGCGGCCCTACAAGGCCGCGCCGCCGCGGCGCCGGTCCGACCCGAGCCACTCGCCGAGCTGGAACCTGATCCTGCCGACGAGCTCGGCGCCCGCGGCGACGACGCCCGCGCCGCCGCCGGGGCCCGACCCCGCGGCCGCGGCGCGCCAGGCGGCCCTGCGGTCGACGCTCGAGGAGGCGACGGCGCGCGAGGCCGCGCTGCGGGCCAAGCTCGAGGAGGCGACGGCGCGCGAGGCGGCCCTGCGCCACAAGCTCGAGCGCGCGGAGCGCGACGCCCAGGCGCGCGCGGCCCGCGCGCGCGACGCGCGCGACGCCGCCGCCGCCGCCGCCGCAAAGCCCGCGCCGGCCGCGCCCCCGGGCCCGACCATCGACCTCGGCGCGCTGGCGCCGAAGCGCGTCGCTGAGAGCGACAAGGTGCCCCTGACGCCCCTGGCCAACGCGAAGAAGTTCCAGGCGCTCAAGTGGGGCAACACGTCGAGCGCGGGCGACGAGCTCGCGGACGCGCGGACGACGCACACGGCCGAGGACGCGACGCCGCCGCCGTCCAAGGCGCGCCGCAAGTCCTGGGTCGCCGGCGACGCCTTCAACACCAAGAGCCTCGACAAGGACGGCGACGACGCGTCGCCCGCGGCCGAGCCCCCCGACGCGGGGCCGATCAAGCTCGCGGAGCCCGCGAAGCCCAAGCCCAAGGCGGAGAAGGCCGTCGAGGAGCAGGCGGTTCCGAAGAAGGCGGCGGAGAAGGCCGTCGAGGCGGAGCCCGCGCCCGCGCCCGCGAAGAAGCCCGAGCCCGCCGCGCCGCCGCCGCCGCCGGCCGAGGAGCTCAAGTCGCCCGCCGCGCCGCCGCCGCCGCCGGCCGAGGAGGAGCTCAAGTCGCCGAGCCTCTTCGCCGTCGAGCGCCCCATCGCGACGCCCGCGAAGCCGGCGCCGAAGGCGTCGCCGTCGCCGACGCTGCGCATCGACGTCGGCGACGACGCGCCGGCCGCGCCGACGAGCTCCTTCTCCCACTCGCCGGCGTCGACGCTCGCGTCGCCGCTGTCGCCGTCGACGCCGTCGCGCATGCTCTGGGGCGACAGCGACAGCGACGAGAACGAGGAGGACGCCGCGCGCGAGGCGGCCGCGAAAGACGCGGCCGAGGGCTTCGAAGTCGTCGGCGCGAAGAAGAAGAAGGACAAGCTCCCCCAGGACCTCTGGGGCAAGGCGTCGCGGTCGAAGAAGGCCGCGCCGTCGCCCCGCAACGCCAACGACAAGGCGTCGCCCCCGAGCGCCAAGGCCAAGGGCGCCAAGGGCGGCTTCGGCTTTGGCGCGCGCGGCGCGCCGTCGCCGCGGTCGCCGCCGCGGTCGCCGCCGCCGTCGTCGCCGACGTCGCCGACGGCGCGCAAGTCCCTCGCCGCGCCGCCGACGAACGCCTGGGGCCAGGGCAACAAGCCCAAGCTCGTCGCGGAGGAGGAGCCCGCGAGCCCGCGGCCGCGGAGCGGCTCCGTGGACCAGGCGCCGCCGCCCGAGGAGCCGTTGAGCCCCATGCTCGTGCTGCGCAGCAAGCCCGCGCCCGCCGTCGTCCTCGACGCCAGCGAGTACCCCGCCCCCGGCGAGAAGGTCGCGCCGAAGCCCGCGGCGCCGCCGCCCGCGCCCGCGGCGCCGCCGCCGCAGCCCAAGCCCGCCGAGAAGCCCCGGCGCGAGGCCCCGGCCAAGGCCGCCCGGCCGCCGCCGGCGCCCGCGCCGGCCTGGCCCCGCGGCATGCGCCTCGAGCCCGCGCCCGCGCCCGCGCCGAAGCCCGAGAAGGCCAAGCCCGCGCCAAAGGAGGCCAAGCCCGCGCCCAAGGAGGCCAAGCCCGCGCCAGAGAAGGCGCCGCCCACGGAGAAGGCGCCGCCGCCGCCGGCCGAGGAGGCGCCCTCGAAGGCGCCCTCGAAGGCGCCCCCGAAGGCGCCCCCGAAGGCGCCCCCGAAGGTGCCCGAGGCGCCGCCGGCGCCCGGGGCCGACGAGCCCTCCGGCGCCGGCTGGACCGCGGCCGCGGCGAAGCCCAAGAAGGAGGCGCGCAAGGCCAAGGGCGCCGAGAAGCCCAAGAAGGTCGAGCCGAAGAAGAGCGAGGCCAAGGCGCCCGCGCCGGCGCCCAAGGCGCCCGCGCCGCGGCGCGCGGGCAACTCGTGGAGCGCGAAGCCGCGCCTCGAGCAGGACGAGGCCGCGAAGCTCTCGGAGGAGAAGCGCGCGCTGCTCGCGGAGAAGGCGGCCCTCGCGGAGGCGAAGCGCGAGTTCGAGGAGCAGAAGAAGGCCCTCGAGGCGGCCAAGCTCGCGCTCGCGGCCGCCGCCGCGGCGGCGGCGCCGCCGCCGCCGCCCAAGGCCGACGCGCCGGCGCCCGCCGCCAAGGCCGAGAAGAAGCCGAAGAAGGCCGACGCGGCGCCGCCCAAGGCGGACAGAAAACCCAAGAAGGCCGACGCGCCGCCGCCGCCCAAGGCGAGCGCGTGGGCCCAGGGCAAGCCGAAGGCGCTCGAGGAGCCCGCCAAGGCGCCGAAGCCCGACAAGGCCAAGCCCGCGCCCAAGGCGCCGCCGAAGCCCAAGGAGGTCAAGGCAAAGCCCGCGGAGGCGAAGGTGGAGGCGAAGCCGCCCGCGGCGAAACCCGCGGAGGCGAAGCCGCCCGCGCCAAAGGAGAAGAAAGCGGAGACGCCCGCGGACGACGGCTGGACGACGGCCCCCAAGTCGAAGAAGGCCAAGGGCAAGGCCAAGGCGGCACCGGAGCCGGCGCCCGTGGCCGAGCCGGAGCCTCAGCCGGAGGCTCAGCCGGTGGCCGCGGAGGAGGCGAAGGCCGAGGCGCCGCCGGAGCCAAAGGCGGAGGTCGAGGCTCCCGCGCCCGCCGCCGTCAAGGCGCCGAAGCCGAAGCCGAAGCAGAAGCCCGCGAAGGAGGCCGAGGCGCCCGCGCCAGAGAAGAAGGCCGACGCGCCAAGGTCCGAGAAGAAGACGAAGGCAAAGAAGGCGCCCAAGGCGCCCGAGGCGCCCGCCGTCGCGGCGCCCGAGGCGCTCGCGCCCGCGCCCGCGGCGCCGGAGCCCAAGGCGTCGGAGCCCAAGGCGCCTCTGGCCGCTCCCGCTCCCGCGCCGGAGCCCGCGGAGCCCGCCTCGCCGGTCACGACGAGCGCCTGGGGCAAGGGCAGGCCGTTGAAGATCATGGCGGAGCCGGAGCCCGCGCCGAAGCCCAAGCCGCAGAAGAAGGCGGCGGTCAAGGCCGCGCCCGCCAAGGCCGCGCCCGCGCCCGCGGCGCCCAAGGCCGCGCCCGCGCCCGCCCCCGTGGCGCCCAAGGCCGCGCCCGCGCCCATCAAGGCCGCGCCCCCCGCCGCCAAGGCCGCGCCCGCGCCCGTCAAGGCCGCGCCCCCCGCCGTCAAGGCCGCGCCCGCGCCCGCGGTGCCTTCGCCCGCGCCCGCGGCGCCCAAGGCCGCGCCCACGCCAAAGGCCGTCAAGGCCGCGCCCGCGCCAAAGGTCGCCAAGGCCGCGGCCGCGCCAAAGGTCAAGGCGAGCCCGCCCAGGGAGGACGCGCCGAAGAAGGCGGCCGTCGAGGCGAAGGTGGCCGCGGCGCCGGCGCCGCCGACGGCGATTCCGAAGAACTTCGACTTCGACGCGCCCCTCATGTTCATGCTGAGCCCCGCGCGGCCCGCGGCGAAGGAGCCGGAGCCCGCGCCGGTGAAGGCGACGCCCCCCGCGCCGCCGCCGACGCCCGCGGCGGCGCCGCCGCCCGCGCCCGCGCCGACGCCCGCGCCCGCGCCCGCCAAGGCCGCCAAGTCGTCGAAGAAGAAGGTGACGAAGAAGGACAAGGCCGCCGCCAAGGCCGCCGCGGCCGAGGCGTCGACGCCCGTCGCGCCGCCCGCGGAGCCGGCGAGCGCCGGCGTCGAAGAGTCGAAGGAGAGCGCCCCGGCGAGCGCCGCCCCCGCCCCGGCCCCGACGCCGGCCAGGGCCGCGCCCGCGCCCGCGCCAAAGCCCGCGCCGGCGCCGAAGCCCGCGCCCGCGGCGAAAACGACCCCGGCGAAGGCGGCCAAGGCCGCGAAGCCCGCGCCGGCGGCGAAGCCCGCGCCGGCCAGGGCCGCGACGCCCGACGCGCCCGCCAAGGGCGGCGCGTCGTGGAAGCCGACACCCGTGCGCGCGGCCGAGGCCGACGCGGCCGCCGACGGCTGGAACACGAGCAAGTCGGCCAAGGAGCTCAAGGCGGAGAAGCGCGCGAAGAAGCGGGAGCAGGAGGCGGCGCTCAAGTCGCCGAGCCTCTTCGCCGTCGAGCGCCCCGTCGCGACGCCCGTCGCCGAGGCCCCGGACTTCGACGCGCCGCTCCTCCCCGCGCGCGCGCGCGCGGCGCCGCGCGGCGACTTCGACGCGCCGCTCCTCGCGAGCCTCGTCGCGCAGCCGGCGGCCCCGGCGGCCAAGCCGGCGCCGAAGAAGGCGCCGAAGCCCGCCGCGGCGCCCGCGCCCGCGCCCGCGCCCGAGGACGGCTGGGAGGCGGTCAGGAAGGCGCCGACGCGCAAGGAGCGCAAGGCCAAGGGCGCCAGGGCCGCGGCGCCCCCGCCGCCCCAGGCGGCGTCGAGCGAGGCCCACTCGTATAGCGCGGACACCCGCGACTCGGCGCCCGTCTCGTCGCTCCCGCCCCCCATCGAAACCGCATCGACCCGGTCGCTCCCTTCCTCGACATCGACCCCGAAGAGCGGCGCGGAACCCGCGACGCCGACGACGCCCAAGCTCAAGGCCAAGGCGCGCACGGTCGACGACGTCCACCATCCGCCGCCGCCGGCCTCGCCACAGAGCGCGAAGAGCGCCTGGCCGATGATGCGCGACGCGTCCAAGTTCCTCTTCTCAAGTTGAGCCCGCCCGACCGCCACCGCCGGGATGATTATATCCGATAACACGGCGTCTAGTTTTTTATGTCCGTGGGGACCCACTTCCAGGCCCGCAAGTCCGCAGTTAGTCCGCAGGCCGTCGACTTCTTCAATTTTCACGCGGCCTTCAACGTTGAGGTATCTATGGATAGTGTGTTCCTGCGACGATCGTCCTATCGACAAACGCGTGTCCGCGTCGCGCGCCAGTTGCCATCTGACCGACCGCCCCCCCCGCCGGCCCGATGCCGGACGACCGCAAGCGCAAGACGCGACGAGACCGCGAGCGCCGCCGCCGCACGCGCCGCGCGAGCTCCCGGGACTCCGGAAGTGCCTGGGGCAGCCTGCCGCGGCGCCGGTCGCTTTCGAGGGGCTGGCTGCGGCGCACGATGCGCCGGTCGCCCGTCGCCGGGTGCGCGGAGACCGTGCTCGCCCTCTACGACGAGTGGACAAAACGGCAGCGTGACCAGGCGAAGCTCGAGGAGGAGAGCCTCACGAAGGCGCTGTTCGAATCCGCGTCGCGGCGAAGCGAGCTCGCCGCGGCCATCCGCGCCGCGGAGCGCCGGGCCGACGAGCTCGAACGGCGTTCGGAGGAGCTCGAGCGACAAGCCATCGAGCTCGACGTGCAGTCGCTCGCGCACGGCGGCCTCGCGGCCGCGGACGCGGCGGCCCCGGAAGAAGAGCCGCGCGGCGCCGACGCGTCCGCCGACGACGCCTACGCCCGCCCGAGCAAGCTCCGCCGCAGCCGCTCCTGCGGCTGAGCGCCCCGTAGCCCCACCCTGTGTCCCCGCTGTAACTATTATCCGTCCGCCCTCGGGAGCGCGTTCAAAAAATCCGGCGCGCAACGTCTGGCGACTGTTCTGAGCACTTCTCGAATCGAACAAAGCGCGTTAAGTGAAGATTTTATATCATTGATCTGTGGCAGCCTCGTCGGAGACGGCGGCGGCCGGCTCGATCATGGCCACCTTCCCGCAGCACAGAAAATACAAGAAGAATGGACGGAAGCGGAGCCCGGCGCCGGTGCCGGTGCCACCGACGTCCGCCACGTCGCAGAGCCTGTTCTGCGTCGACCCTGGCACGCAGCAGCTCAAGCACGTCATCGACGAGAAGCACTACGAGTACGTCGCGCCGGCGCCGGCGCCTCCGCCGAGCAACGGCCGCAACGGCCACGCGCCGCCGCAGCCCTGGGACGACGACCCGGAGCTCCAGCGGTCGCTCGACGAGGCCGCGGAGCGCGAGGCGGCGCTCCTCGCGGAGCTCGCCGAGGCCGAGTCGCGCGAGGCCGCGCTCCAGGCGCAGCTCGAGGAGGCGCACCTGCGGGCGCAGCTCGAGGAGGCGGCGAGCCGCGAGGCGGCGCTCGTCGCGCAGCTCGAGGCCGTGGAGCAGCGCGCGCAGGCCGCGACGGTCGTGCGCTTCGAGCAGTCGCCGTCCGAGGGCCGCTGGGCCAAGGAGAAGCTCGGCCGCGCGTCGCCGGAGCTGGCGCCCGGCGACGGCGACGCGCCCGTCGAGCCGCTCACGCCCCTGAGCCGGAGCGAGAAGTACCGGAAGCGCGACTGGGGCGGCTCCGGCCGCCGCTTCGGCGACGATCTGGCCAAGGCGCGGACGCTCGAGCGCGGCCGGCCCCGCGACCATTCCGACGACGCGCCGCTGTCGCCCCAGATGCCCGTCGAGGGCGACTGGCCCAAGCCGCGGTCGCGGCGCGGCTCCAAGAAGAACATCTCGCCCCTGCCCGCGGACGAGGCCCAGGTCAACGTCGACGACCTCCTCAAGCTCGACGTCCAGCGCGAGGACGAGGTCCGCCGCCTCCAGGAGATGGTCGCGTCCCTCCAGGTCGGCGTCGAGGCCCTCAAGAAGGAGCGGGGGGAGCGGGAGCGGTCGTAAAAAGCGGCTTTACTCATGAGGCTCGGGCCACGCGAGGTCGATGGTGCTCGTGAACGCGCGCGCGTGCTCGTGGCGGAGGCTCGGCTTCACCCGGCTCCTCGCGCCCGCGGGCGGCCGGTCGTCCGCGAAGACCGGCGGCGGCGGCGGCGGCGCCGCGCCGCGGCGGGACCGCTTCGGCGACGCCGGCGGCGGCGGCGGCGGCGCGGCGCCGGGGCCCGCGCGGAGCAGCCGCTCGATGCGCGCGAGCGAGTCGCGGACCGCGTGGTGGCTCGCCTCGAGCGAGCCGAGCCGCTCCTCGTTTCTTCGGGCGGCGAACCCGGGGCTCGCGCTTCGGCGACTTGGGCGCGACCCGGCGGAGCTTCGCGGCGCGCTTCTTCTCCGCGGCGGCCTTGTCGCGCGGCGTCTTGTAGAACGTGAGCGGCGCGGGCGCGCCGTCGGCGCCGGGCACGGACCGGCGCGCGTCCACGCGGCCCTCGTCGAGGCGCACGGGCGCGGGGCGCGACACGGGCACCTTCGGGCAGTGGTGCAGGCTCTGCTCCACCGTGGGGTAGGTGCGGAAGGCGTCCTTGGCCGTCGAGAAGGACTGGGTCAGCGACGCGCGCATGAAGCTCGCGCCCAGAAAGCCGTCCGCGGCGCCGTGGCAGCCCTTGAGGTGGGCCTGGAGCGCCTTGAGGTGGAAGGACCGCCGGCAGTTCGGGCACGTCTCCAAACTCTGCTCCTTCCAGATGCGCATGGCCTCCCGGTTGAAGTCCTCGAGGACCTTGCCGCGGAGCGGCTTGCCCTCGGGCGGCGTCGGGCCCTCGGGCAGCGGCCGCCGGCTCGCCTTGGGCTTCGCGCCCTCGTCCGTGAGCCAGGCCTGGGCGCAGCGCTGCACGTGGCACTTGAAGCTCTTGAGCAGCTGCGGCGTCCCGCAGAGGTGGCAGATCCGCATCGCCGGCGCGCGCTTGAGCGTCGTCGACGCCTCCGCGGCCGCGGCCTCCTCCGTCGCCTTCTGCAGCGGGTCGTCGGTGCTGATCGTGAGGCCCGACGCGCTGATCATGAACGGCGTCTCCCGCGTCTCGCGGAACCCGCCGCCCGACGGCATACTTTCGGACGCGCTTTCGGGAAGCGAGGAAGCGGCGCGGCGGCGGCGGGAGCGCGGCGAGGCCGCCGGCGACGCGGCAGGTCGCGAGGATCGATGCGATGGAAGCGCCGCGGTGTCCGCGCGGCGCGCGAACGGATGCCTTGAGGCGCTCGAGCACGCAGTTGCTCGATACCTACCGTTGATCCATGCCGCAGTGGACACTGAACCGGCGCCGGCGGCTGTTGGCCGGGGGTCGTGGTGTGTTTCTCCAGACGGCGTGAGACGGGCGGCGGAGGTGACTCAGCGGACGAGGGGGCGGGGCCCGGGAGGCTTAGCTTCGGATACAAACCGGCATTATGAGAGGGGCTCAGCCGTGGTACCAACACGTCCAGCCGTTCGACGCCACATGGCAGATGCAGTAGTGCCGCGTCGCGGCGCACTTCGTCCACCCCGTGCGGGAGACGTCCACGCCACAAATACAATGGTGCGCGCTCGCGGCGCAGCTCTTCCATCCGTTCGGTTCTGTCCCACAGATGCAATTGTGAGTGCTCGCGGAGCAGCTCTTCCATCCGTTCGGTTCTTTCCCACAGATGCAATTGTGCGCGCTTGCAACACAGCTCTTCCATCCGTTCGGTTCTTTCCCACAGATGCAATTGTGAGTGCTCGCGGCACACTTCGTCCATCCCGTGCGAGAGACGTCCACTCCACAGATGCAATTGTGCGCGCTTGCAACACAGCTCTTCCATCCGTTCGGTTCTTTCCCACAGATGCAATTGTGAGTGCTCGCGCCGCATGTTGTCGAGCCGTTCGGGATGCTCCCACAGATACAGTGGTGCCGTGTCGCGATGCACGACCGCGTAGTGCCCGTGAGGTTCGCAGTACCGCAAATGCACCGGTTCGGCATCGACATGACGCGCGGCCGCTTGGACCCCATCAGGTCGCCTTCGTCCCGCGCGCGTTTCTGCGGCTGCGATGCAGGCGGCGGGGGCGGCGGGGGCGGCGGCGGCGGGGGCGGCGGCGGCGGCGGCGCAGGCGCGTCGGGCTCCTGCGCCGCGTCGTAGACCGCGCGCCGCGCGTCGTCGGAGAGCGTCTCGTGCGCCTCGTTGACCTTCTTGAAGGCCTCCGCCGCGCCCTCCTCGCTGCACTTGTCCGGGTGCACGAGGCAGGCCAGGTCGCGGTAGGCGACCTTGATGTCCTTCGCCGAAGCCTTCGCGTCGACGCCGAGGATCTCGTAGTGGCTCGCGGCCTGGAGCACGCGCGCGATCATCTGCTTGGTCAGGCGGCGCACCGCGCCCGACGCGGGCGCGGGCGCGGGCGTCTCCGCCGCTGGCATCGGCGGCGCGGGCGGCGCGGGCGCCGGGGGCGCTGCGCGGATCGCCGCGACCATGTCCGCCTTCTCGACGCAGCCGACGAGGCTCGCGCCGCGCGCCCGCGCCAGGGCCTTGAGCTCCTTGACGGAGCGCGCCTCGAGGCCGTCGCCTGCGGGCTCCGCCGGCGCGGGCGTCTCGTCGCCGTAGGTCTCCTTCTCCAGCGCCGACACGGTGGGGCCGACGCCCTCGTAGGGGATGCTCAGAGACGCGGCGAGCGCTTCGACGTCGGACCGGAGGTTGCCCGTCAGCTCGATGCCGACATCACCGATGAGGCGGTCGACCCGCGCGCGCATCGTCATTGTGACCATGAGTCCGTGGTCGGAACCCCGCTACTGCGCGCCGACGAGGGTCGGGATGGCCCCTCGAGTCCGCGCTCACTTTCGACTATTTAGCTCGCCGCGGCGGGGGGTCGACCGCGCGCGCGCGCCACGGACTTCGCCACACTTCGCCACGGTGCCCGCCTGAAGTCACCCAGGGGGAGATCCTGTCCAAGGACAAAACGCCCGGGGGGGGGGCACCGCGATGAACCGAGCTCGCCAGCGGTACGATGCCACAACTGAGTTTTTACTGCGTGTACGCGTTGCGGAACTCGGGCGGCGCGAGGTCGACGCGCTCGTCGTGGGCCCGGAGCGCCGCGCGCGTGCGGTCGCGCGCGGCCTGGCGGACGTCGGCCTGGACGTTCTCGAGCGCGAGGGACGCCGCGCGCGGCGCGGGCCGCGGCAGGAGGTTCGCGAGCTTCGTCCACGTCGTCGCGGGCCGCGGCGGGTGGCCCACCTGGGCCGCCTTGAGCGAGCCCCAGAAGTCGTCGAAGGAGAAGGGCCGCGCGTCGTCGGCGTTGCCCTCGCCGAGGCCGCAGAGCGCGGCCTTGAGCGTCGCCGCGGGCGCGACCCACCCGATGCTCGCGAACTGGTGCCTGTCGAGGAGCCGCACGTGCTGCGCCTCGAGGCGGTCCACGCGCTTGTCGTCGGCGACGACGTGCGCGGAGAAGTAGGGCCACGCGCGGAGCCGGAGCGCGTGCTCCTCGGGCTCGTACTGGCCCGCGTTGTTCGCGAGCTCCCAGGGCTGGTCCCGTTCCAAGAGCGCGTCCGCGCGGCGCGAGACGACGCCCCGGCCCGCCGTCGACCGGAGGAAGTGCTTCAGGTCCTGGGTCGCGAAGGCCTCGGCGAGGGCGACGGCGCGGAGCGCCTTGAGGTGCGACGCGCCCTTGGTCGCGTCGCCGTCGAGCGCCTCGCCGTAGTGGTCCGCGGCGACGGCGAGCCGCGTCGCGTCGCGCGCCTCGCACCGCGCGGCGGCGAGGAGCGAGCACCTGGCGGCCTCGAGGAGGTGCTTCGCGCGGTCCGTCGGCGCGACGTCTTTTCGCTTCTTCGGCTCGCGCAGGCGCCGCTGGAGGCCGCCCTCGAGCCACGCGGAGAACTCCGCGGCCGTCGCGCGGACGGCGTCGGGCGACCGCCCCGCGGTGACCGTCGTCTGGCTCGCGACGGCCGTGCCGCGCCGCGCGAGGGACTGGCGGTCCCGCGCCTGCTGCTGCTCGAGCCGCTTGAGGGACTGCTTGCCGTGGGCCGCGACCTGGCTCCGCCGCCGGCCCTCGGCCTTGCCGCCGTCGGCCGCGTGGCGCGCGACGGACGCCGCGTCGACCTTGAGCGAGCACAGGATGCCCGCGACGTGGCGGCCTAAATCCTGGTAGGCGCCGTGGGCTTTCGCCGCCGCCTCGCGCTGCGTGCCCGCGAAGCCCCGCGTCGTCCACTCGGCCAGCAGCTGCGGCTTCGTCTGGCCGCAGTGGAACGCGAGCGCGCGCGGGTCGCCGACGCAGCGCTCCGGCGCGAGGTCGCCGCAGACGCAGCCGTCGAAGTCGAGGACCCGGGCGAGGCGCACGCCGAGGTACTTGAGCTCGTCGCGGTCCAGGAGCTTCTCGGGCCCGTGGTCGCTCCAGAACTGCGCGACGACGAAGCGGACGACGAGGGGCCGCGCGGCGGCTTTGACCTCGTCGGGCTCCCCGTGGAGCTTCTTGAGCCGTTTCTTCAGGACGTCGAGCTGCTCGTCGTAGTGCTGCTTCCGCGCCTTGGCCTCGCGGCGGAGCTTGCGCCGGCCCGCGTCCGTCCGCAGGAACGCGACGACGTCCGCCTCCGCGGCGGCCTCCGCGTGGACGACGCGCCGCGTCGCGGCGACGGCGGACACGCGCGGCGCGCCCGGGTCGTCGCCGTCGGCGCGGGGCGCGAAGCGCGCGTCGACGTAGCCGTCGCCGAAGTCGAGGCACTCCGCGAGCGCGTCGTCGAGCGCGCGCGCGGCCGCGGACGCGCCCGGCGGCGCCTCGGCGGCGCCGCCGTCGGGCGCGTCGCCGAAGCGCGCGACCTCGTCGGCGTCGACGCGCCGCTGGCGCGCGCGCTCCACGTCCAGCGTCGCGTCGAGCTGCGCGACCGCGCGCCGCCGGCTCGCGACGAGCGCGCGCTCGCGCGCCTCGGCCTTCTTGCCGCCCGGGCCCCAGGACGTGACGACCCAGCCCCGGTCGAGGCGCGCGCGCACGCGGGGCGCGCTCGACCCCAGGAGCCAGTGCTTGAGGTCGGGCCAGCGCAGCTCCATCGCGCCGGGCCGCATCGCGTGCGCGGCGAGCAGCGCCTCGGGGCGGCCGTTCGCGACGCCGAGGCGGCCCAGCAGCCCCGGCAGCTCGTCGGCGCGCACCGTGCCCGCGTGGTCCACGTCGTACCAGGCGAAGAGGTACTCGGCCTGCGCGAGCGCCGCGTGGCGCCCCCGGAGGCCCGCGGCCGCGGCCTCGTAGCGCCGCCGGAGCGCGGCGCAGTACTCCGCCTCCCAGGCGAGCGTCGCCTTCCGGCGCCGCGTGCCGAAGTCGCGCGTCGTCTCGACGTCGCAGTCGCGCCGCGCGCGGGCCTTCAACACCTCCTGCTCCGTCGCGGCGAAGCGCTGCTTGAGCCGCCGCGCGGCCGCGCGCGCCGCCGCGGCGCGCGGGTCCCGCGACGCCTCGGGCGACCCCGCCGTCGTCGCGGCCCAGAGCGCCGCGCGGGCCCCCGCCCGCGCGCGGCACAAGATGTGCTCGACGGCGGCGAAGGCGTGGTCCGGGTCCTCGGACGGGTTCGCCGGCGCGTCGTCGTCGCCTTCGTCGCCCGGCGCCGCGTACTTGCCCTTCTTCGCCTTGGCGACGCAGCCCGCGACGGACCGCCAGGCGAGGCGCGCGCCGAGCTTCGCCAATGGGAGCAGCTTCCCGTAGCGGGCCTCGGCGGCGCCCGACTCCGCGTACCAGTCGGCGAACGCGCGGCACGACACGCGGTCGTCCTTCGCCGCGTCGAGCTCGCGCGCGGCGTCGTCGAACTCGTAGGGCTCCCAGGGCAGCTTCAGGTGGCTCGACAGCATGCGCGGGATGTCGCGGACGTGCACGAAGCCCCGGCCGTCGGCGTCGTAGGCGAGGCACGCGATCGCGCAGTCCAAGCGCGACAGCGCCTCGTCCGGGTCCGCGTCGTCGTCGCCGGCGCCGCGCCGTAGCAGGAGCACCTGCGCGGCGATGCGGTCCGCCTCGGACCGCACGGCCTCGCGGCCGCCGCCCGTCGCGATGTAGGCCCGCGCCTTGGCCTCGGCCGCGGCCTCGACGGCGTCGAGCTCCGCCTTGGTGGGCGCGCGCGCGAGCGACGCGTCCGGCGCGCCCTCCGACGGCGCCCCGGCGTCGTCGGCGTCGCGCGCGTGGTGCGCGTAGGGCGCCGGCAGCGCCTCGGCCTCGGCCCTGGCGTCCCACCAGCCGTGGACGGACGCGCGCGCGCCGGGCGTACCGGGCCGCGTCTCCGGCGCGGCGCCCTCGAGGGACGCCGGCGCCGGCGCCGGCGCGCCGCCGTCGTCCGCGGCGGCGCCCGGCGCGGGCGCGGGCGCGCCCGCGACGGACCCCTCGAGCGACGACTCGTCGAGGAACGCGAGCCGCTCGTCGAGGAGGCGCCGCGCCTCCGCGGCCTCGGCGTCCTCGCGCGCGCGCTCCTCGCGCCGCCGGCGCCGCTCCTCCTCGTGCTGGCGCTTGCGCTCCTTGCGCGGGTCGACGAAGCTCGACTTCGCGGACTTGGCGACGATGACGGCCGCCGCGGCCTCGTCGGGCTCGGGCTCGGGCTCGGGCGCCTGCTTCGGCGCGAAGAACTTGCGCGAGCTCGCGCGCGTCTTCGGCGCCTCGACGGGCTCGACCTTGGCGTCGAAGAAGTAGGGCATGTCGATGGAGAAGCGCCGCTTGAGGGGCTTCGCGACGGCGACGTGGCGGTCGAGGAGCCGGTCGACGGCGAGCGCGCAGTGCTCGGCCTCCGCGGCGTAGGCCCGGCCCTCGTTGGCGTCCTCGCTCGGGACGAGGTGGGCGAGGCCCAGGGCTCGCAGCTCGGCCTCGGCGACGCCCAGGTCCAGGCGCGGGGGCCGCGTGAGCCGGAAGTCGCGGCGCGCGGACCGGCGCTTGATCGCGCGCGCGCGCCGCGCGAGCGCGTAGTTGGCCAGCACCGACGCCGTCGCCGGCCGCCGGAAGTTGGCCAGGTGCAGGTGCGACTCGCGGCCGCCGTCGTTCCACCAGGCGACGACGTCGTCCGCGGAGACGAGCGCCGGGTCCGCCCACGCGTCGCCCGCGCTCCCCGGCGCGGGCGCGGGCGCGGCCGCCTTCCGCTGGAGCACGGCGACGGCGCAGGCGTCGGCGACGGCCTCGCCCCGCAGGCAGCGCGCCGACCCCTGGGGCGCGTCGCCGACGCCGGCCGCGAGCGCGCGGAAGACGCCCCGGAGCTCGCCGCCGTCCAATCCGCCGCGCCCCGCGAAGTCGGCGAGCTGCACGGCGTCGCGCAGCGTCGACTCGTTGTCGTGGCCGCTGCCCTCGCCTTCGAGATCCACGGCGAGCACGGCCGCGCAGTTCTTCGCCTCCGTCCGCGCGCGCGCGTCG